GCTGAATCCAGTATTTTCAGTTACATGAATGTTGCAGAGCACGATGACAAAAATCAAAGCCACAGCCTCATACAATCTTTGAGTTTAAGCAATTTTCAACATTCCAAAATGATTTGCAAGGACGAAGATGAAATTAATCTATGTTTTGAAATGATGGAAGTGAATCTAAGGTTGCAGTAATTATTTCAAAAAGATTTAGGCAAGAGAAAAATATTGCCTAGCCCAGAAAATACATGAATCCTCTCAAAGGTCTCCAAGCACTGCCTTGATGTCTGTCCACACTGCAGTAGATACAAGTACCACATATTTTAAGAAACTGAATTTCCGAAACAAAAGTGTTAAAGCTATATAATTTAATGCTGCTAAGATTAGTAGCAATAAAATTGAATTGAGTTCTTCCATACCTTGCTTAAAACATTTGTTGGTTTATTTCCAGTGAAATGATACCGAAATCTCTTCTGAAGAGGATTCAGCATGATCTGTATTGGAAGGATAATAGGTGGTGATGGGGGTAAGGCGTACTTTTCTGGCAGTTGTTTAGGTTTGGTTAATAGTTCATCTCTAAGTTTGACAGTCAAGGACAAATACAGGTGTTGAGTTCCTCCAAAAGCATGACTTAAATGTGTTTACAAAAACAAACAGTATTTTAGCTCTACCTCATTGACCGTATTGTACCTCATTGGCACTATTACACAAGCTATAAAATTCCTTGAATTTGTACAATACTGAAAAGTTTCAGTTTTATAAAATATTTAACATAACTCTGGCCACTAAGAATTACTTATTCTACGACAATACAAGTCACTGAAATCAGTATGATTTAGGAAATCAATATCACGAAACAAAATCTCATCATCACTCCCAAACCTGTATCCAAGAGACACGTGTATTCGTGCTTCTTAAAGGAGTATCAAAGATTCAAGAAAATAATACATGCAATATGTGATTTCCCACCTTGAAGCACGTGATTTAAGTGGCCTAATGTAACTGACCAGAATTGTTACCACCACCACGCTGCGTAAAATGACCACATTCATTCCTATTCCAGTACTGTTCTGGGGTTTTGTTTGTTCAAACTACTTCAGGAAAAAAAAACCCAACCAACCAAAAAAACCTTGAGTTTTATTTCTGCTTGATTTTACCCTCAAACTAAAGGAACAGGATGAGCAGAATCTTCTGATTTACCTTAAAGGCAGATCAGAATCAGAGAACAGAATCACCAAGGTTAAAAGACTTCCAAGATCATTGAGTCCAACCATCCACCTACCAATATTTTTCCCTTAGTACAACATCTAAATGTTTCTTGAACATCTCCAGGGATGGTGACTCCACCACCTCCCTGGACAGCCCATTCCAGTGCCTGATCACTCTTTCAGAGTTGTTCCTAATATCCAATCTGAATTTCTCCGGGCACAACTGGAGGCAATTCCCTCATCCTATCACCGGTAATGCCACAATCTCCATTCAAGCAGTTGGAGAGAGGCTAAAATCTCCCCTGACCCTCTTTTTCTCCAGACAGAACAATCCCACTTCCCTCAGCCATTTCTCACAAGACCTGTGTTCCAGACTCCTCACCAGTTTTGTTGCCCTTCTCTGGACACACTCCAAGGCCTCAATGTTCTTCTTGTAGTGAGTGGCCCAAAACTGAATACAGTACTTCAAGTGCAGCCTCACCAACACTGAGTACAGAGGGACGATCACCTCCCTGCTCCTGCTGGCAACACTATTTCTTATACAAGCCAGGATGCCACTGGCCTTCTTGACCACCTGGCTACACTGCTGGCTCATGTTTAGCCAAACACCAACCAACATCCCCAGGTCCATTTCTTACACTGGGCCAATAGCGTTGCCTGAGATTGTTGCAGCCAAAGTGCAGGACCCAGTACCTGTCACCGATGAACTTCATTCCACTGGCCTCAGCCTGTTCAGATCCCTCTGTAGGGCCTTGCTACGCCGAGGCAGATCGACACTTCTTTCCAACTTGGTGTCATCTGCAAACTTACTGAGGGCGCACTCAATGCCTTCATCCAGGTCATCAGTAAAGCAACTGAACAGGATGCACTCCAACACCAACCTCTTGGGAACATCACTCACGATCTCTTACTAGCTGGATTTAGCTCCATTCACCACCACTCACTGGGTCCAGCCCTCCAGTCAATTCTTTACTCAGCAAAGACTATAGGATAATACTGTGGGACACAGTATCAAAGGCTTTGCTGAAGTTGAGGCAGACTGTCAACAGCCTTTCCCTCATCCACCAGATGGATCACTCAATCAGAGAATCCTACTGCTACTCAATGAAAATCATTGTGTTTTTTATAATTCCCTTCTGACACACACATATATCTTCAACTCTCTCTCCTTTCTGGGATGGGACATATTAAACTGATTAATACTTTTTTGAATTCTAGCTCTGTTCACTTATTATCTCCTATATGAAAAAGTACATTCTAATGTTAACACAAAGTAACAAATTCAAATTGTCTTTTTTCTTTAGAGAGAACAGTTTTACTGCTTTCTACGAGAATGTGCATCTTTGACATTTATTACCCTCACAATACATTAATTTTTAAAGGATACGATGTTTGCAATTTCAGAAGCTGACAGAACAACATCTCTAAGTTGCTGTAAACATCAGAAGCATTGGCTGGTGCAGTAAGGCCAAATGCCTGAGACTGCGGTGGCCCCACAAATGGCCAACGAAGCTGGGTCAGCACTTCTTCAAAGTCACTGCAACACAAAACACACACTTTACCACAAAGCTACAGCACAGCATGAGATGAGGGAGTGATGAGGCATCCCATACCTTGACAACTTGTCCTTAAGAATTTTATGCCAAAATTTAACAGTGGATCTCACAAATGAAAGAAGATGAGAACAAGATGACTCCTGAAGCTTAATATCCAGTTCTGCCATAGATGCTAGAGTACTGGCTGCCTCTGGAACATTATTGGTCATCAGATACTGCTGAATGTTATCACTATAAAATACAAGAAGAGTTGAGAAAAATTCACTAAAGATAACACAAAAGAATCAATTGCATTTTGAGAAACTGACACAAAACTTGCTCAATCTGAAATATTTTAACGAGACAAACTAGGTTACCACTCCCATCACATCCATGTAGTACTCAGCAAGGATTCATGAACCAAGCTTTTTGTGTGAAATTCCTTAAATGGCTGAGAGCCAGTCACAGAGACCTGAAGGCAGAACTGCTGAAGGAAAGAAGGGAGGCCCAAAGTTCTTTGAAGCACTGCTCTTCAAGTAACTTGTTCAAAGAACTGTTTTTTCTTTTGCTTCCCAGGAGGAAAACTGAAAGCAAGTTTCAGACTGCAGCTGACCTGTCACATTTCTGTAGCTTAGAACAAGTTGTTTCATAACTTAAGTCTCTCTATACAAGATTTGCTCTAATGGTACCTTTCAATTTCTGACATTCTTTATGAGCATTACACAAAATTTTCCACCAAAAGCAGCTACAAATCACATGAAGTAAGACGGCATTGCACATTCCCATTAAGACAAAATCAGTGTACCAGAATGAAAACTCAGAATTACAAAGTCTGAAGTGTAACATTTCTGCTCAAGATATTCAAGTATATTTTAGTTCTTTCACTGTAATTTACAATGGGTGAAAAAGTTTTATGCACACAGCACCATAGAGAATTACTGTTCTCTTCCTTAACCAGAGCAATAATTTCCAGCTCTCACTGGAGAACACGTTAACAGTTTACAGGATCAGATGACAACTTGCTGTCCTCATGTATTTCTTAAATTTGTTTGTTTACCACTGAACCTTTGAAAAAGCTGTGTGATATCACTGATAAGAATTCTGTGTAAGTACATCAGCTTTACCTGAGCTCTTCTATTCGGGAAATCCATTTAAGATAGGACAGGTGACGCTCAATCTCCTCTACCTGGCTGATCAGCACACCGAGATCCTCCATCCATGGCTCAGCTTTCTCTAAGTGGCTGCTGATGGAATCAGACAGCAGAGTTTCTTCCTCTAGAAGCCGATTCAGATTTTTTTTAGAGTCCTCCGCATTCTTTAAGGCATTCTGAATTCTTTTCGGGACTTCGGATGAAACTGTAAGCACCTGCATTTACAGACAAGCATTAGGCCTCACACAGGAACACTGCACTGGGGAAGAGTAAAGATACTTACCTGCTCTTCCAACTGCTTTTTGTTTTCAGACAGCTTTTCGATCAGGCTGCCCAGCTTCTTCAGAGAATCGTAGTCATTCCCAACTTCTCTTTCCACAAATTCCGAAACGTAATACGGGATATCGCAGCGATCTGGATCTCTGAAGGCTTCTTTCTTCGTCACATTAACGGCTGCCATGCCTTCTTTCTCCACAACGTTATTTACGTAATTTCTACCTGCTCACCACTTAAGGCAGCACTACCAACTACCGACCCGCTGAGAACACAGAGCTGCGGGAAACGCAGGGCAGTTCCTCACAACCCGAACGTTAAACAGGCCTTTAATAGTAATACCGGCTTCAGCAAGGTGGGACGGGACGGGACGGGACGGGACGGGACGGGACGGGACGGGACGGGACGGGACGGGACGCAGCTCCGCCAGCACCGGACCCGCCCGCCCTCCCTGTCCCTCAGCCCGGCCCGGCAGCGCCGCGCTCCCCCACCCCGCCGCGCCGCGTCAGCACAGCGCGTCCCAAGGCCGCAGCGGCTGAGGCGCGCGCAGCACAGCCTGGGCGGGGCCAGAGGCGCATGCGCGCCCGCCTCCTCCCCGCCCATCCCCACGGCCACGGTCGCGCCCGCCCCCTCCTCTCTCCCCTCCCCGCTGCCTCCGGAGGGCGGCACCGCGCTGTTCCCCAGGCGCCGTCCTGAGGGAGCGGCGTGACCGCCCTGTGCAGCGGCCTCCGTCCCGGACGGCTGCGGGGAAGGTGACGGCGCTCCCGCCACGAAGCTGCCCCGGCGGTTCAGGTGTCGGGCCGGACCCACATACCCCCGTCCTCAGAGCGCACGGAGCCGGGACCACCTTCCGTTCATGGGATTTTATTCACACAAGCGGCACGAATTCCCGATTTGGTTTAGAATCGTTGAAAATGCAGCGTAGCTGCCGCTGTACAACAGCCTCGTTCTGCCTCCCAGCAGCTGCCTGGCTCAGGCAGGGACACAGCGAGGCACTACGGACTGACACGCCATTCTTTTTGGTGAACGCATTCCCAGCGCCTTTTCTTGGCACGGGTTGTGCCAAAGCTGGAAATACACACATTTTCCCCAGGAGAAGACCTTGGCTAATTAAAACAGCTGTGCCTGGTGACGTAGCCACAGCCTGGCTGACCGCAGCAGCTTCCTGGAAGCAAACAGCCACCAGTACCTTCATTCAGCTCTAATTTTCCCAAATCTGTAACTTCATACAGAGACTTCAAGGTGTGCTGAATTGATCAAAACATCCACTGCTCACTGAAAAAGAGCAAGATGAACATCTGTCCAGGTCAGAAGCTATAAGCCTGCTTCTCAGAGATGCAGCAACACAGCTCAAGCAACCTCACGGTCCATTCATTAAAAAGCACCAGTCACTAAGGCTTGTATTACATTACAACCAGCATCTTCCTAATAACTACTTAATTTAAATGCACTAATAAAAACTTAAAAAAATACAAATCTCTTACTATCACCCTTTAAAGATTTGTACAGAACGTAAGTAGGAAAAAACTCTGTGCATGTTAAAATCTAGGCCGTGCTAGCAGTTCACTCAGCGTAACCAGGTAGTATTCAGCTGCGTTTGGTTTTTTATGCTTGTGTCCATTTTCAAAACTTCTCGAATTGCCATAGTAGCATAAGTGGATGGAGGAAGGGAGAACTCCATCTTCAGTGCCCGGAATTTACCATCTATCATAAGAGGAGAGAGAAAACAAAAAGAAAGCAAAGAACATAAATAATGCTTATTCTGAGTGCCATCCAAACTGGACCGAAGTTTTCCACCACCATCCCTGATCCCATACAACGGCCTTTACCACCACACCCCAGTCAACAGTCCATAGTGTAAAGTAGAATTTTATAAACCATCTTCTATTTAACATTTTCTTTCAGCAGGAAGTGATATTCTAAGTGTTCACCAAAAACTAGATGGACAGTTTTGTCAGACTGAATTCTTATCTGCTCTTCTTTTTTTGTCTGGAAATACTGTTGAAAGACTTTGTGACCAAAGTTACTTGCAAGATTTACATTGAATTCTCTTAAGTATCTGAGTGGTCTGTTATGCTCAGCACAGATAAACACTCAAGCATAGCAATAATTCGTGGCTCACTTCTACTTTTTCTTTACACATTCCATAGAGATTTATTGCTAGATGTTTATTTGATTGTACAGATGTCTGTAAGAACATGTAGCAACCGATTCAGATTCCCGGAACAACTGCTCACACTCTTGAGAAATAATGGTCCTTACTTACACACCTAATTTGGATATTTTCAATACCACTGTTTAGCAGTGGTATTAGCATTAGTGATGCTCATTTAAAGAGCTTTCAATAGGTAGCAGTTTAAAGCAACAGCCAGATCAACCTTCAGTTTTGCAAAGATCAACAAATACACCAATTTACCTGTAGGAAGAACTGGTAAAGGTTTTCCTTCCAGCTTATCCAAATCCGTAGTAAATAATGGGATTCTAGGATCATCATATGCAACGACTTCCCTATGTAACATACATAGAATTTATTATTATTATTCTAATTCAGCAGTTACAGTAATGCAATTGAGCTGGAATTACTGTCTATTAAATTAGATAAGATGGTATTTATCTTGCAGTAACTGGTAAATGTTTAAGAACAAAACTTGCCTCTGTTTACATATGGATTATAAAATAATGAACTAGTGAGACATTTCTTTGCATAATTAATCTCTTTCCTCCCATGGAATATCAGGATTTCCAGCTACACAAGAAGTGTAGTCACTGCATTTTCAATGTATTCATACAATAAAAACTATTCAATATGCAGTGACTAGGCTGAAAAAGCAACTAGGAAGAAGGTAAGCTTTAAATATCGGTAATAATTAAAGTAAAATTCAAATATTTGAATTCTGTCTCCCTTCCAAACCTTCTATTTTTTTTTCCAATGTAATAGTGATAAGTTCCTCTGTACATTTGTACAGTCACCTTGCACAGTTCAAAAGGTATTTATTTAGTTGCTATGTGACAGCTAGGTGGTGCCACTAATAACAGGAATCTTGTACATTTATGTGATGGAAATCTTTCTGATTGACACTGTTGATTGGAGACTAACTTTCTCACATCAGGATTACAAAAAATAACTGTTTTGAATATTATCTATCATGCTTTCACCATCAACCTGAGTAATTATGAAGTGTTTAGGCAAGCCCTTGCAAAGGAGGGTAGCAACTAGACAGATGTCTTGACACTAACACATTACAAAACCAGAGGACCAGTGAAGAAATAATACTATGATTCAACTTCAACTGTGTGAAAAATGTGAGAAAAAATGCACAAAGATTTCTCCCTACCTATACTTTGTTCTACATGTGTATTCTGTAAGTCAATCCAATAGTTCTTAGTCATCCCACATATTACTCTATTCACATCCAAGTTCCTTTGTCCTCCTACTTACCAACTGACATTCTGAGGTCGAATGATAATCTTTCTGTATGCTCCAGAAAGTGAATAGTCTCTGATTTTATGCCTCATGTTGTTGATGTCAAGATTGTCAGCTACTAGCATTTCCTTGTAGGCTTCTCCAACTGGAAGAGAAGATATTTAATCAGAGATTGTAGTGTGGCTGATTGAAACGGGCTGTTTTCATAGAGCACTCCTTCCTTTATGTGCATTTTAATAGTTGTCAGTGTATATGGGTTAAATGTTAGACAAAAATTTAAACTTATTTAGTAAAAACTTTATTAACTACAGTATTTTCTTATACAAACTGATTAACAGAGGCAAGTAACCAAGAAAGAATCTTTCTTAACAAATAAAAATTGAAACTGAAAACTCAGAAAATAATTTACTGACATTTCACTAGCATCTTATATACAGTTTCCAATTGCTTACGCTTCAGAAAACTGATCTCAGATATATGTATCTGAGATCAAAAAGAAAGGCCAAACTACTGCTTGTTCTGTTTTTGAAAAAGCAGAGACTGAAAAGAGTTAGGAAAGCCATCTGAAGAACTTTGCAAAAGGCACCATTAAGTAGCTCTGACACTGCCAAAGCAATGAGTAATTACTATAATCTCACATCCCCAAGTAAAGGTGTGTGTGTATACACCTGGGAAAGATGGGGTGGCAGTGGAAATGTAAGAGTCCATTGCAGCTGAAATACTCTTGTTTACAGAACAATTACCAGCATAACCAGAGAAATCTGAACCAATAAATTAGCATTCTTGTGGGAAGAAGGAGCTGGAATTCACCCCCTGCTTGTCTGTGGACAAGATCAAGCTAAGGGAGCAGTCAGCACACTCAAGGACAGGACTGCCATTCAGAAGGACCTGGGCAGAGGCTAGATGATTGAGCCAAGAGGAACTTATGAAATTTGTTAAGGACAGTGTCTGTGTATCACAGAATCACAGAATTGTAGGGGTTAGAGGAGACCTCAAGAGATCACTAAGTCCAACCTTTCTGCTAAAGCAGGTACCCTACCAGTAGGTCACACAGGTAGGCATCCAGACAGGTCTTGAATATCTCCATAGAAGGAGACTCCACACCTCTCTGGGCAACCTGTCCCAGTGCTCTGTCACTCCATGTTCTTCTGCATGTCTCTGTGGAACTTCCTGTGCTCCAAGTTTTAGGCCATTGCTCCTTGTCCTATCACAACACACCACCAAAAAGAGCCTGGCCTCATGCATTTGCCTCTCACCTCCTTTTAGATATCTATAAACATTAACTAGATCTCCCCTCGGTCTTTTCCTTAAACTGAACAGACCCAGGTTACTCAGCCTTCCTCATTCAGGAGATGCTTCAGGCCCTTAATCATCTTTGTGGCTCTATGCTGGACTCCTTCTAGGAGATTCCTGTCTTTTTTGAACTGGGTAGCCCAGAGCAGGAAACCACTCCAGATGTGGCCTCACCAGGGCAGATCAGAGGGGGAGGATCACCTCCCTCGATCTGTTGGCCACGCTCTTTTTAATGCACCCCACGAGAGCATCTAGGAACACTTAACTCCTTGTGATGCTAAAAGACTAGACAGCAACTTTACTGACAGTTATTTGAAAGTCCCAGTGGAAAGGAGACCAGCAGCAAAAAAATCTAAAGGCATACTAGACTGTGTCAACAGGAATGTAGCCTGTAGCTACACCAAGAAAAACAATTAGTGCCCCTTACTGGGCTTTTATTAAGTTTTACTTGGAACAGTGTGTCCAGTTGCAGGTATGAGTACAAATTAGGTTCTAATGAACTAGAATGAGTCTAACTGAGAGATACTCCAATGGCCAAGAGTTGTAGCACATATCTTGTATGGTGAATCTGAAAGAACAGGGCTTCTTTAGCTTGGAGAAGATTCAGAGATCTGAGACACTATTTGCCCTCGGAAAATTCATCCTTGACAGGTCAAAGCCCTGAAGAAGTTGGCTTGAATGCCAGATGGCCTCCTGAGGTCATAGAAATCAATCAATCACAGAAATGATTCTATGACTACCCCTTAGTAACAACACAGTTTTCCAAATGGATTGCTGAATTTATTCAATTAAAAACAATTTTGATATAACACACTTTCTCTACAAGATATAAAAGATGAAAACATGTTAACATTTAATTAAACCATATCTGTTTCTTTTCTTCCCAACGTCAAGTTTTTGAGTTACATATTCTGTAAGTTTGGCTTGTTTCCTAATTTTAAAAAACCAAATGCATATACTCCTTAATGAGCTTTTCACTACTTTTTTTTCCTTATGCCACGATAAATCATTCTGCCTCAGTAAAAGTCTTCAGGAAAAGCTATTTGTTAAACTGAAATATGAAAAAGATTTATGTTAAATGAAACAAATTACCATGTAAGCTATTATCAAAGTGGGAGAGGCTGACATAACATATCTACTAGAGCACAGTTCTGAAACAGTCAATTTTTGACAGTCAGGAAGGCTGCATAGATCTCATCTTCCTTTTAGGAGCTATCTTAAAGCAGATCTACAGTTTCAGATTTATTGTGTAAGTTAACAGACTTACTTTTATGCTTTGGATAAATAACATCAAATCCAGGTAATGGCATCACTACATCATGAATGGTGTAGTTATGAACATCTCCTTCTTCAATGTGTACAGCTGTGGCTACAGTCAAGACAGAAAAGGAAAAGAGATTCTAGTTACAGCTACATTAGCCAAATTTACAATGAATCATTTGATTGAAACAAGCCTACTTTGGGGAGGGTAACCACTGTGTTTTTATCTCCACTTAACAGACAACATTTCCAAGAAAAGAAATAATTTTCAAGGTTGTTATAAGCAGAATCACAGCCTAATTTCCAAGGACTTTTAAAGCTGAATGACATAAAGACTTCTAGATGATGTCTCCTAGTCAGACATCTGGCTCACATGAAGGAGAAATACTGTGTATGCTCTCAGTGCATCAAAATGTCAGTGAAAAATCCAAGTAAACAAAGCTTTGACTGAGTATCTGCTTTACTAGATGCTATCATAGAATGACTTGGGTTGGAGGGGACCTTAAAGACTGCCTAGTTCTAACCTCCTTGCCATGAGCAGGGCTGCCAACCAGTAGGTCAGGCTGCTCAGGATCTCATCCAGCCAGATCCTAAATGCCTCGAGATGGGGCATCCAGAGTCACACTGGGCAACCTGTTCTAGCACCTCACTAGCCTCTGAGTAAAAAATTTCTCCCTAACATCTAACCTAAATCTACCCTCTTTTGGTTTAAAGCCATTCCCCCTTGTCCTATTGCTATCAGACTGTGTAAAAAGTCAGTCCCCCCCTTCTGCTTGTAAGCACCTTCCAAGTACTGGAAGGCCGCAATGAGGTCTCCCCAGGGCCTTCTCTTCTCCAAGCTAAACAAGCTCAATTTCCCCAACCCTTCTTCATTGGAGAAGTGTTGCAGCCCTTCAGACAGCTTTGTGGCCCTCCTCTAGACCTGCTCCAACAGTTCCACATCGTTCCTGTACTGGGGGGGTCCAGGCTTGAACACATTTACCGATGTAAATTCCAATGTAATTTCCTGTGACTAAAGCATTCACAACATCCTCCTTTACCTCCTTTAAGTGTGAGATCTCCTGGTACAGCTTTAAGCCCATATTCTTCTATTCTCTTGCTCACCATGTTGTTCCACACGTAACTCTGGTAGCTATGAATATACATTAAACGATTATTCCTTGGTATCTGGAGGTTAAAAAAAAGTGAAAAATTAGAAATATGTACTTTTAGGACTTTCTCTTAATCACAGACCAAAATGCATACGTATGAAGCATTACCTTCTTCAGCAGCAGACCTAGCAAAACAATTTCTTGGTATACAGACTTTTTCAAAAACTTATCTGCAATTTGGAAAAAGGGTATATAAAGAAGTAATGCTTTTGTACATTGGAAATCCATACACACACAAAAAAAGTGTTAAAATTAAAAATGAGAAGCTACATTTTTTTTTTTTAATTGAACAGCTCGAAGAAACGAAGCTGTTATAGAACACTGAATTCATACTCAAGCTCCTGCAATGCTTAAGTAAACTTTGCAGATGCTAAAGCACAGTGTTAGCCTAATTATCCTCATCATAAACAAAAAATTAATTCTCAGCTCTTACGCTGGACCCAATAATTTGCTGGTTATGAGATATTTTCTCCGAAGACTTCATCTTATTTACAGTACTTGAAAGTGACAATGAATCCACCACATCTATACAGTGCTGCCTCATTAGCACACTGTCAGTTTCATTTATACTTTTAAACCATCAGGAAAAAACTCTGATTTTCTGCACCATTCTCAGATCCATACTATACACAGCTACTAAATATAACTGTATGGCTTCCAACTTAAAGAGACTGTGGTATAATAAATGGGAGAGCTCATTGTGCATACACTAATTACAGATGTCACACATTATTATACAGCAGTAGTTCAAGCAAAAAAGGTAGGATAAAAGCAAAGATTTTACACAAGTTTAGACTAACAGAAGCCTGATGAGTGTATTTCAAATTCACTGTGATACCATAAAAAGAATATGTTTATACCAGTAAATGCCCCACAGCACTTTTACACTCACTATGCCAAATGCAGAGATTATGTTCTTCATTCCATACTTTAACAGTCCGCGTAGAAGCTGTCCTTCCACGCACCTTTTTACAGGTAGTTTTTTGAGAGCTGCCGCTGGATCTTTTGTCTTTGCCCATTCTTCTCTGCATTTTACTAAGTATCCCTTCTCAGCTAGAACAAGGATGCAAAATAAAAATATTTTAGCCACACACATAAAAATCCATGTATTCTTTTATTAAAAGAGTTGGAAAATTAGCATTTCAGTCACGGTAACTGCAGAGATCAACAGAATCACAGAATGTTTGAGATTGGAGTGCTCCAAGTGCAGTCCAAACAGACTGTGTGTTAATATTCAGATTCCTTTCCACATGCACTGCAAGAAACTGCACAGTAAGCCAAAAGAAACAGAAAGGCTGAGAACCTGAAGATTCCATCTCACTTGCTAAATGGGCTGAAGTTTAAATTTCAGAAGCTGTGCAAAGTTGTCCTCCCAAATGCCCTTTCAAATGAAGAGAATCAGAATCTAGAAGTGGTTATTCCTCAAAGTACAATTCTTTGAGGAGGAGGGAAAAGAACACTTCATATATTTCTCAGTCCTTACCTCCTGGTCGTGGTTTTAGTATCAAATCCATTACTTCATTCCAGTTGTTCTGTAGAATAGCTCTAAGATCCAAACAGGAAAGTGTATTAAGAATTTACTAAATACATTGTTTAAATTTACTAAATTTACTAAATTTTAGAAAGTAAGTACTGTGTTTATGCAATATTAAAAGTAGTGGCATTATGCAGGACACATGCTGAAGCAAGTTCAAAACAAGTTCCTTCATGAATCTAAAATTAAAACTAGCACATGCAAAAGGATAGAAAAGCCTTCCAAGAAATAAATAAATTAAAAGTTACAGAGATTAAGAGGGGAAGAAAAAAAAAAAAAAAAGAGGATGGAAACAACACATACCTGCCAATTTGATATGTAGGAACAGCTGTGGTTCCAAATCTTTGCATTCCATAGTAGTTAATGAATCCAATTTCCCTGAGAGAGTTCATTGCTTGCTCTATCTGGTCATCAGTTCCTGTTATATTTCTATCATTAAACAAACAAACAAAAAAAACCTGTCTATAACTTTTCTTAACCTTTTTAAAGGGCTCACAGTATTTTAAGGTCCCCAAAATAATAAAGCTCAACATTAACATTATCCAACACTTATCAAATTCAATAACTTCCATCCCAATAGGACCTTTCTTCTTTGTTGTAAAACCAGATGACTGATGTCCCTGTACTGTTTGAGGGAAAAAAAATTACCTGAGAACAACAGTGAAATGGTTCCCTTGCAGTTCTCCTAATTTCAATGGATGATTCTTATAACTGAAATTTCCTAATTTAAAGTTCATCAAGCATTTATTCAAATGAGCAAGTCTTTGTGCAGTGATTCTAAAAAAAAGAAACAGACCAACAGTGACCATCCTCTGTCAGGTAAGTTAAATAAATATAAAAATGCCATCATTTTGAAACAAAAAGCAGTGAGTTGTGTTTCACCACTCTTCTGCTCTTCTATTCAGAGTATTTTTATGTAATATCTAGAATAAAATTCCAAAGACCTGTTTATTCACAACAAAATATACACTGTGACAAAACCATTCATGCTGTCTTCGTGTTTATGTTAGTGTATGCACTCAAAAAATCAAAGTTGTAATACTAAAGTATAACATACCCTACAGCACAAGCGTAACTCTTCTTTACACTGTGAGTGTACTCAAGACAGCACAAGCTTAAACAGACTGAAATAATTAGCTACTATGTAAGCTTATTGGAAATGAAGGAGCATGAAGTCGAACTTGTCACTGAATTCTCTTTTCTCAATAGTATTTTGAGAAATATGTCCTGTTCTTTGCAGCACAGAGCTGGCTCTTTGACACTTCTACTAAAACTTACACCAAAACAGAGAAGTTTATCAAACAGTATGGCCAGTGTACTCGGCTGAGAGTGGGCTGATGATCAGTAAGCTCTCCTTCCCTACTCCACCTCTCTTCAGTGCTCTACAGGAGAGTCTGGTACTGAATGCTACTGAACATTACCAGAACCAGCAGGTTCCTCCCTAGTAGGCTGTCAATGCTTATAATAGGCTAAGCTCTTGGACACAATGTTAGAAAAAAAATAGAACAGCACCCAAGATGGCTAAACACAAGTTCAGTTAATTGCCCATCAACTGATAAACCTGTTATCAGAAATTAAAATCTGGGGCTTCTTACCTGATTCACAAATTAATAATTCCCTTTATATGTGCAAGTGTATGCAAACCACTGGGAGAAAAACTACCAACAATTAAGCAGTGAATGCCTTCCTTTTAAAAAGGACTTGATCAAGTTTCTGGCTTTTAGACTTCAGAATTCCTCCACTTGAGGAAAACAGTTTTCAAAGAACTGTAAAAAGCAACAGGAGCAGAATATTACAGCAGCTAAACAGATATTGTAATCCATGGCTGTGAGGCATCCTTAGTTACTGATGTAGCACTAATTTCAAGTGCCTAGGAACCACATATTTATCTTAGATTATGCCAAGATTAATTGTATTATGGGAGCAGATTGAGGCAGGAAAAATTTCTTGTCTTTTTCTTACCCTTCTGGCTACTCACAGATGAGAAAGGCAGTGGTTAGCCTTCTCTGGAACAGTTCAGAAAGTTCAGTGAGAAAGGAAACAGGATTCCAACTGGAGGAAGGGGAAACAAAGGCCAGAATGGAAATGAAACAGAATTTCCATTGCATCATTCTACTTTGCTGCTGCATGAGGGTCATATAGTGTGGAAACACAGTGAGGCAAGTTGGGCCACTGCTTCATCCAGATGCACGTATTCACATGTGCCTACCCTCTAACTCAGAACACTACTGATGGAAAATATCAGCAGTCACCATGGAATAAAAAAAGGGATTATAGTATTTTTATTAATGTGTGGCGCCGGTACTTAGCAAGATCAGGACATGAATCTGCTACTCATGACATGCCTACTGAGTGAGGATTATAGTGAGGTAGTGAAGCCACCATGGTAGGAATGCAAACAATCCAGTGTATTTTTACTTACCTAAGAACAGCAATTTCTTGAACTGTTATAGCCCTTTTATCTTTAGTTCCCATGTAAGAAAATATGTTTGGCTTCACTCTTAAAGGCAATAATGAAATGTATTAGAACTATGAGAGCAGAGACAGATTTGACATAGTTTTCAGCATAATTACCTAGTGATATTATTTTATATGAAAAAGATGAATTTTACATTAGAAGCAGAACATGCACATATATATGTAGATGCAGCCTAGTTCTGGGAAAGAAAATGCAATTTGACACTCCTGAATATGTGTGGCATTATCTAAGTTATTTCTAAGCATGTAAAACACAAGGAAACCTTCCGGACTAATTAACTTCTAGCACAACTATGCTTTCAAACTACAAGCCTTCAAATACTTCACAAAGATGCAGTAATCACTATAAAAAAATAAATAAAATAATTCACAACACATTCATTTCTCCCTTAAACTTCAAATAGCATGTCTGCTTGAATAACATGCCTGCATATTATATGAGAATATGGGAAGTTAATTTAAAGTTTGTTCCACTTCTATCCTCAAGAAGAAAATTTCCTCTCCTTTCCTGTGTTTGCAGTTATTCCATCAATGGGCACCAGATGGTATCAGGATTGCCACTACATACAAATTTCCATCAAACTACACCCTCAATAGTCTCTTCTCATATGAAATACTAACATGGTGTGGGATAGAGTTTGAAGCACAGATATTTACTTTGGGACAGAAACAATGAAGAGAAGTGGAAAAGCAGGCAATAGATCACTGAATTGACCCAATTTAAAGATAATCTTTTGTCTGTAATTCATTCTGTTCGCATCATGCCTTTCACAAATCTTTTTGTTGCTGCACCTGATGGTGTGAAAGGAACTCAGACTGTGTTTGCCTGGAGAAATTAACACACAGAACGACGGATTATCAATCAGTGCTTAGGAACAAATTAGCATATCATCACAACAGTATGTGTCATACACATGCTCATAACATACTTTTATACATGTGCACACACTTGAAACAAATAGCTTTTAATTTATGTTATTATCATTGAGGCTATGGGCTGCCTCACCTTTCTCCAATGAGCCCACTTGAATTACAGACTTTTGCTACTGAAATAACAGGGTACAGTCTTTCAAATTACTTGAAATCACTTGGCTCTCTCCCTCTGAGACTTAAAGTTTTAAATTTTATATCCTAATTTTTTTTATTTTTTTTTAAGAAAAAAAAAAACTGGCTAAAGATTAGGCAACAGTAACCATTCGTGTTGCTCTTACATTACCCTGAGGCATTACATTTACTTTAACATGAAACGGGCAGAGGGAAATCTGTATGCTAGACAAGTTGACAGAAACAACAGCCTTACCTTAAAAATTTTGATAGGACGTTAATGGCATCCATAGTATCCTTGTTCTCCTTGTACAGTACAAAATGGCAGTAGCTTCCCCTGGATTTTGGCCAAGAGTGTTTTCTTGGATCTTTAAAAACAAAAGATTAGAATGTTAAAAGCGTTTCTTTTTAATTGTTTCAGTGAATATGGTTGCCATTGAAGCTTCATTTAAAACAAACACATAATAGCCAGTTTCTGATTATTTCCATCTGCTTAAAAAAAAAAAAAAAGAAAAATTAAATATTGACAGTAAAAGCTACAAAGCACACTGAAAAGTACATTCAGTGTGTACAAAATGGTGAGTTCCTTTATCACAAAGCTAGCTAAAAAAGATCCCCATGTCACTTGACTGCCATCTCATTTGACTAAACTCTTCAAAATCTTTATCATTGTACTGACTTTCAGCCAGTAAAGTAAAAGCCACTCTAAATTTCAACTAGTGTCTGCTCTAACTAACAGATGAGGACCACTGGAGCACTGTTTGTAAGAAGACTACAGTATTATTTATTATTATTATTTATATGCAGACATTTAGTAAATATGTTTAAGCTTCATTAAACTTTTCACTAAAGGACAGCTCTTCTTGTCTTCTTCAGCAAATCTTGCATTTAGCTTGAAGAGCAAGATACCTCCATCAAGAAATCATTAATAAAACAGACGAGAGGAAAACACAGCAATTCACAAGAAAAGTCTTCGCCATCCAGAACAGTTCTTATTTGACCAATCCATCTTGCACACAGTCATTGTCACACCCTCCAAGAAAGGAACCCTTCTCAGAGCTACACCAAGAGGCTCCCCAGCTCTGGGCACGACAGCCACAGTGTGCCTGTCCTCACACTGCCCATCACGCTGAGTACTGGAAGGCTGCAGCTATAATCCCAGTGTTTAACCATTCCTCACTCAATATGTCAGGGTATTCAATCAGGTAGATGGGGCTGGACAGGCAGCCTGCATTCCTGATTGCTATTTTCCAGAGTCATGTTACATGATTTTAATGTGAAATATATTTCCAAGCCTTTTTCCAAATCTTTTCCTGCAATTCGAAGGCTAGAAGCTCTTTGTTAAGATCAGGATGTATGATACATGAAGTTATATAAATCTGGAAATTGCATTCTGAAATAGAAGGCTGAAGGGTAAAATTTAGGCTTAAAGAAATCAAAAGGAAATTTACAATAGATTTCAAACAGTATCATCAATCCTGATCAGTCAACGTCACTTACTGCTGGCAGATATCTTTTCTGCATTGAAAGGCTACTGACTATCCTGCACTAGCAAAAAAATTAGTAGTACAAGCCCAATTCTTGGCTGTTTCTGGGAATTTTAAACACTACTTGTGTGTAGATTGTTTGGGGCTTAACTTCGTTTTGTTTTAGAACTGTAACTAGTTTGGCCAGTCTTATCACAATTTAGGAGGTCACAATGGTTGGCATTTCATTTTGTTAGCATGAAATGTCAACATCTCTTACCTGTTGCAGTTCTGACCTCTGTCCCAATGCATAGCATAAAGAGCACAAAAGAGTAGCATTTAATTTTTAGACTGTCAAAGGGTTTTTAAAGGTGAACATGCAGGTTTATGGTTATGGGATTGTTTATGCTTTAGAGCATCCAACAGTTAGGTGGTGGATGACAGCAATTTAGACAGTTATGCAATGGAATCGTGCAGAGGCAAACGGTGAACATATGGAAAGCTTCAATCAGAGACGCAACAAACTTTATTTGTGGACAATGATGAAACAGTAATTTACTGACAATCTAAAGTATTTGGGATGTGAACTGACTATAGACACAAAGTATCTTCTAATTTTAAGATTTTAGGAAGCCATTTTTGCTATCTGCTCACGTTATGAACAAAAGTACTCATATACCTCTCAGCTAATTACTGCACATTTCTGAAGTGTTTCCTGCTTGGGGAGCCCACACAGGACTGAGAAGTGTTGGTGGCTACATAAACATGGAAGACATAATCCTGACTAAAAGCAACTTGCGATCGAAACTTGCATTCATTAGCACTTACACACACCCACTGAAACTGCACTCATCTCCACCAACTTGCACAGGTGGCTGTAGCATCACAACTTAAAAGGCAAAGTTTAAATAGATGATGCTCCTCTGCTTCACAAGATGGTGCTCCAGATAGTATTTTAATCCTAGAGATGCATTGCTAAGTTCTCTTCAGTGTATTCCAAATACTTGAATTCTTCTATACAGTATTTATCAAATCAGACTGGCTGAATAAACAAACTCAACTGTAACAATGGTTAAAGAATATATGCAAGCAGAAGGGAAAGGTGAAGGTAAAAACATTACAAACTGACAGAGAATAAAACTGGTTGAGGAGAATTTTATGTTGGTAAGTATACATATTCATGCACGGTGCATGCAAATATACATGTTTTCTAAATGATTAAACAAGATATGCAATGTGTTATAATTTGTACCAGTCAACATACAACATTCCTGTACTCACTTAATAAAAGCGTTAGAAGTAATAACTAAATTGAATGTGGAGATGGTCTTATTTCAAATTTTAAGTTATCCTAATTTCCTTGTCTTTTGCTTTCTCTGCCTCCTTCATCTTTAAAATGAAAGGGCTAAGTTTACAGATTGTATCACTTGCAAAAGTTTGAAATGAAATAATAATCAATCAGTTTGAATCAAATCTTAATAGTTCAGTATCTGAATAATAATTAAGTGTCCAAAATGGCATCTAGACAATTCTCTCAACTTACAGGAGGAGCAAAGAAACAGTAACATTAAAATAATAATAATAATAAATATAGAACACATGAATTTATCGCCCATAAATAAAACAAGATTTGTTAAGACTGAAGTGGATAATACTGCCTTTTGAAAATCTTTCATTACTTCTATTGCTCCACAATAGTGACTACAATGTGTCTGGACAATCCTCTGAAAATAAAATTAGCCTTGAAAGCAGAAGTAGCCTTATAGCTGAAACTAACTTAAAGGCCACAATAAATACTCATAATTTATGTCTATATAAGTAGTCACTCTGAGAAAACAAAATATCTCTAATCAAGTCATTAAGAATTTTGTCATGAATTTTCAAGACAGTCAGGATTACTGAGTACATGTGGGTACAACCACAATGCACACCTACATTTTCAGGCAGGTTCATGAAGTCCACTTCAAACAATACACAGAATAAAGTCCCTATTTTGCCTATTTCTATTGTAATACCAAAAGAACCTCTTGTTTCTAACATAATTACACTTGATTAACGATTTGGAAAGAAAAATGAGTAAAAAAAATAAACTGTGGATACTCTTTATGTTTCCAGTTACTTCAGGTGCACAGCAATGCTGCAAAAAAAAACCAGCCAGACGACATTAGGATGAATACTCTATGTGAACTACCTCCTAATTATATAATTTTTTTTTTTTTTTTTAAATTTTCAGATTAATTTTAGCATTTACTTTACCCAACTGCTGTGATACTGAAACTCACTTGCCAGTGCTTTTTTCCCAGCAGCATGATAGGCAATAATGTATTTTTTTCCATCTCGATCTTCTGTTTTAGTCTCCAGCCCAGGAAACAAGGACTTAACAGCTTGGTGGATAACTGTTCTTTTTTCTTTAGTGTCTTCAATGACCTGTGTTGAAACACAGGCATGCACAAACAAAATCAAATAACACAAAAGGAAAATGACTCCCCAAGATTTTAAGTTTTGCATGCTTAAAAAAAACCCAAACAACTACTGAATCACACCAAAGTACTGAATGGGTGTACTTTAAGAAGTCTTCCTAGTCAGCAGTTTTAAAAATAATAAATGCTAAAAATCCCAGAAAACCGAAAATTCTCAAGACAAATTCCCTAATTTTGTGTTTAATAAAATTTCCTCTTCTAGCAACAACTATGGCAAAACTAAGCTTTTCTATATCAAAAAGAAAAAAAAAATGATGAGGTAAGATAACTTGGAGATTACCTAGCCTAAAATTATCTAGCCTGGAGAAAAGAAGGCTCCAAGGGGACCTTATAGCAGCCTTCCAGCACCTAAAGGGGACTTACAGGAAAGCTGGGAAGGGACTTTTCATAAGGGCATGTAGCAACAGGACAAGGAGAAATGGCTTTAATCTAGAAGAGGGCAAAAATAGACTAGATATTAGGAAGAAATTCTTCACTGTGAGGGTGGTGAGACACTGGAACAGGCTGCCCAGTGAGGCTGTGGATGCTCCTACCCTGGAGGTGTCCAAGGCCAGGCTGGATGGGGCTGTGAGCAACCCGGTCTAGAGGGAGGTGTCCCTGCCTACAGCATCAAGGCTGGAATTATAGGTCACTTCCAATCCAAACCATTCTATGATTATTTAATATGTTAATGCTTCATTGAAATGATCAGACCTAATCCTATTCTACTACCTAACACAAATTCAACAGCTGTTCTTCAAAAATATGGAATATTGGAGTATTCAGAAATATGAAGCTTTGTTTTATTTTGTACATTGTTTAATTTCTTGTTACAGAAGAACATTTTTTAGCCTCTTTTCTATTAAGTTACTTAATACTCACCTTTGAAATAATCTTTTTATCAGGATGGATGATATACTTCTCAAATAAACATTATATAAAACACTACTGGACAGAGAACTAAAACACTGCAAGAAAATTTTAACACTGCAGAAATTAAGATGTGTTTGAGTACAGGTGTCCCACTGAAATCTAAATAACTACTCCTGTGCAGAAATTTAAGTGCTTGTAATGCTTTACACAATTGCATCCTAAGTTAGCAACATTTCATCATTAGCTGCTGCAATATCATGTGCAAGCTGCTCTCATACCTGACATGCATTAGAAAGCTCATAATTACCACTCACTCTTATTCTCTCCCCACAAATTTCATACTGTTAATCCATTTTACCTCTATGGCCACACTAGTTTCCTTATTCTTTAGAAGCTGGAGCTCCTCTAAACGCTTCTTGTCTTCATCTGATAAAACAGTGAATGTTTCTTCTGATGGATCCTGACACATATTCAAGGGGAAAAAACAAACATCCAATAACCCACATAAAACAACTTTCATTCTCTTAATGTTTTTGCTCATTTAGCTGTTACCAAACCTTTACCTCAAAATTTACCTCATCATCCACTGGAACAGTGAAGTCATCCAAATGGCTCACACGTCCATCTTTGCCTATTTCGTGAACAACGAAGTCTGAGTACCTGATGGGAAAAAAAGCAGACAAAAATTGTAATTAAAAAAAGAAATCCCACATCACAGAATGCTTTCATAAGAAAATATTTGTTTGTAGAAGCCATTCAAGGGAGCGCAAAAGAAACCTCAGCTATGATAAAATTGTAGCTATTCCCAGCCCTCAAAATATTCCAAGAAAACAAAGCAAAAAAGTGTAAGATAATTAAACAAAGATGATACCCAGGCAGGTGCCGTAGTTACCTGCTAACAATTAAGACTCCATTAGCTTGCTACAACTTCAACACACATGCATTAACTGTAGCTCCTAACAACCTGCAGGACAAAATACATTAGCCATTCTCTAAGGAAAGAGGGACACATACAGCTCTGTTTCTTATGTTCAGCTGTAGAGAACACTTTCCAAAATAAGCTGTTCTGCATCCTCTGTCACAGCAACAAAAACATTGACCACAGTGTTCTGGATTGAGTCACTATGCCCGACAATGGAACATCCCAACTTTAAGGGAGTTGAGACAGTTTATGTTGCACTTGCTACATTCTTTTTAAGTAGCAACCACTTCAAAAGAAAAAAATATCCTACGTTTATAAATGTATGAATGTTGAAAGATTAATAAAACACTTCATCATGGGAATGTTTCTATAGCACCCTCCAAGCCTATGTTTCTACATGTGCCATGCTATTAGCCATACGTGTTATTGGCAGAATTCCTTGCTTCAGAGTGTTCTGTACCTTCTCCCTCATTATCTGCAGCTGTCTAGACATGCTAGTGATGGTTACCATAAAACTGCTGGGATTAAGTTAATTATAGGTGTTATAAACTGACATCAAAGTAAAACAGTCAGTCCACAAACATTTCTACCACACAGCTACCTCTGGCCACTTCAGTTTGAAAGCTGGCAAATTTCCCGAAAGTTAGAAAAAAGCAGGGGAGAACTGGAGAGGGATGGCTTCAGTGTTAGTATCAGGTACTGCATTTCATATCAGTGTTGAAGAGCAGAATGAAAGGTAGCTGTATCATATTAAGCTTTATCCTGCATGCTGCTGCTACAGAGTAAGATAAATGGCAAAGATCAGCATAATCATCTACCTCTATCCACACTGAGCTTTCCTCTCATTTGACAGGAAAGAAAAAATAAACCAAAACCAATCCAGAAAAATGCCAAATTAAACATTTCTTTCAATCTCAGCATCAGCAAAAGAAACTGATGAACCTCCCAAACAGCAGCACATAATCTGGTTGCATCCTGTGAGTTAGAAAAGGAAAAAAGAGAACAGCTGTTAATATGGGGAATTAACATACATAACAAGACAAAGAGTTACCTCTCCTTTAAGATTCCAGAAAATCCTTTGTGACAGCTAACAAATTTAGTTATGCCAACATCGCTTTCTGTCAGTCCATGCTTCATCATGTCTGCAAAGCTCTCCGGATCTCCATCTTCATCACTGTCCTCTAGTTCCTCATCTTCCTGCTCCTCACCTTCCTCATTGGGAATTATTTCATTTTTTGTGTCCTCAAGCATAGACTTGTCAGGTTGTTCTATTACAGTCTGAACACTCTGTTCAGAGTTGCTTCCTGTCTTAGAGTTCTCTGAAATCTTCTGTCTTTTAATTTCATCCGCATTAGCCGCATCATCCTCAGAATGAGGACGTTTCAAGGATATGTTATTCATTTCTACAGTTTCCATGTTTAAGGCACAGTGCAGAATAGAAAGCCCTGAGAAGCAAGAATGGCTTACTTCCTTGTTTGCTTAAAAGCAATATCAATACATGGCCTGTTCACCACTCCAAGGACTGTGCACCCTGCAAACAGTTCAAGAAAACCATAAATTTTCTGCATTCTTTTTTTTAGTAAAACGTCACATAAAGGTTTTTTTTACAGCTGAAACAACATGACTTGGAAAGAAAGGAGTTGTTAAAGGCACTTAATAGCCACCCAGCATGCACATAAGATTGTAGAAGAACACTACACTATACCTTTACCACCATCAGTTTTGCCATCACAGCTGCAGCCAGCCCTGTCCATGTAGGCTCTGCTGTCAACAGTAATTTAGTGCCTATCAAGCTTTCCATTCCCAAGTCTTCTGCTAAACTACTACTCTCAAATACTTCTCATTCTAACAAGACTTCATCTTGCAAGGTTTGAGAGAGGATGGCTTGATTCCCCTTGCAAAGATTGGGAGAGGATGGCCTGATTTTTCAAAGCCTAAAACCTCATCTTCCCCTTTTCTACATTCATCTGCTGTAACACACACAATTCCATACAGAGCTCAAGATAGCAATAATTCAGATCAAAAGATAGCAGGGAAGTGATGACAAAATCCTTGAATTAGTGGGACAAACAAAACACAAGCAGGTGAAGTGATCTATGAGAACACAGTATGACTACTCACTCTGGTGGAGCAGACTCTTCACTGGCAGCTTCAGCCACCACCTCTCTGTCAGTAGAATCCAAACATCAAGGCCTGAAAAACGGAAGAAAACTCTCTGAGAAGGTTTGCGGGGAGGAAGAAACAAAAACAAATAAAAGACAACCTACCAAAGCAAACCAACAAGCAAACAAACAAAAAAATTAATGTTGCAAGGATATCATCAACTGCCCTGTGGTTGTTACAGTTGCTTCCAGCTATCTCCACAATGGATGAAACCCACTGCATGCCAAAACTCCCCTCTGCAGAAGTGCTGACACATATTGAAGAAAGGGAGCAGACAGCACAGATGGAAGTACAAGAGGAGGCGTGTGAGGATACAGGGAGGGATGTGAAGGGGACACTGCTGGGGACGGCTGAAGATGCACTCCTAGAAGAAGGCACACCATTTCAGAGCAGGGACACCTTGAGGGGCCCACAGCCTGTGAAGGGGCCCACATGGCAACAAGGCACATCGTCCTGTATTACTTCTCCAAACACAGAAAGAATTAAAGAATATGATGTTTTTAAAGGAGAGCTCATGACTAAGTCATTAATCACCCTGTGCTGAGTTGTTAACTGATTGCTACTGCTAGACACAGGTCATCTCTTCATTGGGACTTCTCACTCTATAGCTGACATAAATGTAAGGTAAATATAGAGAAAATGCCTGTCCTAGGGACACCTGCAATGCTTTGCTTCAAATGAAGGACTGAAAAAGGAAGCTAAAGAAAAGAATGGATGAAAAGAAAATACAAAGACTTATAAACTAAGTGATTCAAAGAGTGACAAAACATGCAGAAGAAAGTAAAACTATCCGCAAAGCAACGTACCTTCAAGCAGGAAGCCTGAATTTCAGTTTGTCCTCAAATAAAATCCTCCTTTAAAAGTAAGGTAATTGTATCCAAGAGAAGTAATTCACCAGCATTTCCATATTCTTCCCATATCTTCTTAAACATACAGAGCCTTGACTGGATAGCACCAGTGAGGACAAGGCTTCTAGATGGCTCCTGAGACCTTCTGCATGGCAAATGAAATCAAAGCAGGCACTCTGAAAACCCCTGAAACACCTGCCAAGGAGGTAATGATAAATCTGACGTTTGTAAAATAGCTAATAAATGACAGCAAATGGTTACAAGCACTCAGCGTTGGCCCCGGACGTCGCAGTGCTGCAGGACACCGCCCGTGCTCGCAACAGACTCACGGAGTCCCGCACTGACGGCGGCCAGGGCCGCGCTCTGAGGGCCGTGCTGGAAGGGACGTGCAATGCCCGCAGGGGCCGGGCGCTGCAGGAAAGGTCTGGCCTCTTCCCGACAGCCGCGCAGCCGCCTCAGCCCCTTCCCTCGCAAACAGGTGTTTCCATAAAAGCCAGATTCCGCACCCGGCGCAGTTTCAGCAGGGACAGAGCTGGATCTCCTGCTACGCACACAGGACTGCCTCTCTCCCCGGAGCGCTCACGGCGCGGCCCGTCACACGGGGCGCTTCAGCGGCGGCCAGCGTCCCGCCGCCAGCAGACGGGCGCCGTTCCCTCACCGGCGAGGCGGCTCAGCGCGGCCCGCGGGCACGCGCGGCGATGCGGCAGCGCGGGGCCGGGCCCTGCGGGGCTCGGGGCCGGGGAGACGGCCTCGGAGCGGGCGGCAGCGCCAGGCCCCGGCACGGAAGCGGCAGGCGGCTCCCGGGCGGGAGAGCGGAGCCGCGGCCCGCGGGAAGTTGGAGCCGCGAGGAGACGACGGGCCGCCACAGAGCCCCGCGGGGCGGCGGCGCCGAAGGAGGGCAGAGCTCCGTCCGCCGCCGGGCGCGGGGCGCCACTTACCGCACGCGGGAGCGGGAGGCCGGGCCGGGCGCAGCGGGGAAAGAGGGAGGAGGCGCGGGGAGCGAGCCGTGCGGGCCTGCCGCAGCTCCGCTCCGCGTGTGTGAGGGCGGGAGTAGGAGGGAGGCCGGCCGGCCCCGGCACCGCCCGCGCGAGGAGCTGAGCTGAGCTGACGGCCGCTCCCGCCGTGGCGGCGCTGCGGGGCGCCTTTCGGCAGCCTTTCGGCAGCCCGGTCGCGATGAATTCCGGTTCCCGGCGAGCCGACGGCAGCGGCGGTGCCCGTCAGCGCTTGTGCTGCACCTCCGGCCCGCTGAAGATCCCTTTGGAAGCGAAAAGACCGCTTTGATGCACGTAGGGGAAGCAGGCGGGAATTTATTATAAATTCCTGTAAAGTACGACAGCTCTACAGAAGCAGCTTAATTTTGCCCCGGCCGGTACAGGCAGTCGGTCAGCACAGCCGCGGCTCTGCGAGGCGCTGCCCCCCCAGCTCCGCTGCTGGCCGCGCTCGGTCCCGGGCCGGGCGGTGCGGGAAGCGCCATGTCGGAGCCTGCGCCGTGCAACTCGGGGGGCCATCATACAAGCGGGCTGTGTCTGCGCTGTGCGTTCCCTGGCCTTGTCGGAATGTCTGCGTTCACCTCTCTGTTTCGAGCGGTAGTGCAAAAACCATCATTAACTTCGACACGTGTAATTTGTCTTTCCTTTTCAGACCCTTTGCGGTGTATCGTAATGCTGACCAATCTCATTGTTTGCCAGGCTATTAATGCCACTTCTTAGCTTCTTCCCATTCTCTAGTCATATGTTATCCTGCCCCTCTGCTCTGCACTGTGAGACCTCAGCTGGAGTACTGCTCCCACATGTGCTATCCTCAGCACGGGACAGACACGGACCTGTGGGAGAGCATCAAGAGCAGGGCCACAAAAATGATCCAAGGGATGGAATGTTTCTCCTATAAGGACAGGCTGAGAGAGCTGGGGCTGTTCTGTCTGGAGAAGAGGCGGCTGTAGGGAGATCTGAGAGCGGCCTTTCAGTATCTGAAGGGGAGCTGTAAAAAGGAGAGCGACAGTCTTTTTAGCAGAGTCTGTTGTGAACTGGAATTTCACACTTGGAATTTCATCAACCCAATAGAAACCAGGAGAGAAATTGGTTTTGTGTGCCTCTGCGGATGGGTCAGCGGTGGACAGAACCCAGTGACAGACATGGAAGAGTTTAGTGCTTCTGGCAACTATGGAGCATCACTGAGGATTCCAGAGCTGTGGCTGCAGTTTCCCAATTTTCAGGCTGTCTTGGCAGTAGAAGAAATGTGAAAAAGAGCTTTGTGTCATTTGAATAGGGCTGTCATCTTACCAATTACTGCTATAGCTGCTGTATGTAGGTGTTGCAAGGTCATACCTTCACCCATCCGAGGCAAAGACATGATGTTATCCGCCTGAAAATATCTGTCTGGGCAATCCTTCAGCAAGACTTCTCCCACACATCAGTCCAACTTTTTTTTTCTCCTGTAACTTGTTGCTTCTTTCATGTTGCACAAGAGCTTCCCTAAAGCACTAATTTTTTACTCCTCCTACAGTAAGTACCACTTTGTCTACAAAATCAGTCAGTAATTAAGAAGCTTATATGTTACAGCCTCTGCTTGGTATGATAATTACCCTACTGCTAGCTCTCCCTGTTGACTGTGTTGATCTTCCATCCATTACTATTAGTTTGAATTGAATAGAATTTGGAGTGGTATGAAGTGCCTCACACAGGGAAGAAACAGCATTTTGAAGGACCTGCAGGTGCTACCTCAAGGTAAATAGCTAATAATATCATTTCTATGCATTTCTCAAGTTTTCCAATATATTCACCAAATTTCATTACATCTTTCTTAAAACCAATAAGCAATCTCCAACTTACTAAAGAACTAATTGCCTGTGTTGAAGACTCTACTGGCAAAATCCTTGAGACTGACCTTTCTACAGCTTGGGGGCAGGAAGGAGGGAATCTCCAGTTCTGTTTCTGAGATAAAACAGAGCCATTATGACCAATAGAGAACATCATGCCTTCAAAGTGGTATATTTGGTCATATTCTGCTATGATGTTTCTGAGTGCAGGCAGGCAAAGAGCAGTATGTGTTCATCACCACTTTCCCTTAGACAAGTGCTCCGTTTTACATACCAAAGTATAAGAAAATATGATTGCAACTCTAACTTGATTTTTTTTTTTTTTCTATCAGGTTAGTTTAACAACTAAAAATACTCTATAATGAATGGTCTTAGTATATCATTCAGGTGGTATTCTTAAAATTATATTTTAATCTCAGTTAAAATGTGAATATTGGTTATTTAATGCAACCTAAAAGAAGTTGTTTTGCTGTTGTTGTTGTTGAAAAAACGATGACCAGCCATGGTCATTACAGTTCTGGCCTGTAATAAGTTTGAGCTTATAATGGCTCTGTGTGCTCAGGCTCACCAGGAAGGGGAATCAGGACAGCATGCGTTGGCAGGTGGGAGTATAAATCTGGGTAGGAAGAGAACTCATGTCAAGAGCATGTCGAATCAGTCTCTTCCAAGCAGGATCCTCAAAAACCCAAAGGTGTATTCCACTCTGTGGGGAAAAAAAAAAAAAAATAAAGGAGAGCATCAATATCAGTACTCGCTCTTCAGCTTTAACCCTCCCAGGGCCACAGACAATCAGGCTGATAAGTTGTAATTTTACACCCTTTGCACCAGCTGCACTTAACTTGTCTGATTTTTACCTATCACTAATAGCACCACAGAGAATTAGAATGAAAGAACTATGAAAAAATACATTAGGCTTTTAATATGTAGGTTGTTTGCATTTCTAATGCCTATTTTGAAGCCTTGTGTGAAATGAAAAGTGGAAGTGATAATTCATTAGCAAGCAAAATATAGAAGTAAAGCATTATGAAAAAAACCTTTTGTGGAGGGAGATGGAAAACTTAATACTCAAGGTAAACAATTTCAATTAGGAAGTTCTTTGAAGTATGATGAAAGCAGTCAAAAAAGGATCATACAAACTTCCAAAATAAAGACAAAAAAAAAAAAATTGAAATTTGTGGAGCTTTTAAGGGCCATTAATTCAAAGGCCATTGCCTTTAAGTTGATTCTTTTTTCCTTCTCCGATTCAATTTTTAAAAATGAAAAGGTATTAATTTTTCAAATTGATCTCTCCAGTTCCCTTGATCAATTAGTCTGCGATAGGAGAAAGGTAGAGAAACATATTTTGTAGATATACTATCAGAATTTTAGGCAGAGAAGATTCTTCTGACCAAGTTTTTCTTATTAAAAAAAAAAAAATCTCTCTCTATATATGTATACATATATGTATATAAATGGCTGTAAACAGTCGGGAATTGTGCTATACAGAGTAATTTTAGGTTAGGAATATATGTGTCCAGAATGTTAGGTAAAACTTTAATCTCTGAATTAGTGGGGTAACAGTGAAATTCATTTATACCTTCTGTTAAAAGTTTGTTAGATGCCTGAAGCTTGGCAGCACTGCTCACAAAACAGGATGTTACTGCCCCCAGGTCCAATGTCTCTATCTTTGAGTGGCAGCATTTGATTTTTGCAAGGACAGTTAAGAGCAAGTGTTGCAGGGACTCAGGGAATCTGAGCTGGGGAATGATTACGTATTTCTGCCTGCACCCATAATTATCTCAGGAGGCCTTTCACCTCCAGGGTTTGGAAGACCTTTCGGTGTACTTATGCTAGAACAGTATGGATGGGAAGAATAAAACAACCAAGGTGGCCTGCATACAGAGCCTGAATTATTACCTGCCAGTGGGGCCAGCTGCTCTCACTGCTCTCCCAAGGCCACTGAACAGTTGTACATGCATGGTGCTGGGTGGGACCACCTCCTGCAGCATGGCTGCTGCCTCACATGGAGGGGGAAAAGCAGAACACTGCAGAAATGGAGAAAACAAGCTGTGCTGCTGCTGGGTGTGTGCCTGCCAGCCCTGGCCATATCTGCTGTCACACTTGGTTTTCCATAAAGTTTCTTTGATTGCTTTTGATCACTGGTATTGGTGTGAAATGTACCTTAATAAGCTACCAGCAAAATGCCTGTTGTCCTTTGCACAACTGGATCTAGCCATTAAAAATGCTGTAGAAGTCACAGCATAAATATCAAACATTGATAGACAGAAAGCTGAAATGGACTGTGACAATACCCATGGTATGCTTTTAATCATAGTGGTGAATTACATTAAAATCTCCCTGCCCAACACTCTTGTGTTTTGCTCACTTTTAGGCTGTGGCAACATCATAGCGTTCCCTCTTCACACGCCTAATTCTTCATGTAGTTTGAGGACAATATGACCCAGAATACACAGTCCTTCACCTGTCTATCAGCACCTTCTTTCCTGCTCTCGGGAGACACTGTTGATCCTTCTTTCTCTTACGGATTTGTCCAAACTTGTTAGCGCTGGCAAAAGTAATCCCCATTTCCCCCTGGCTGCTTGACAAAAGGAGGACAGTGAACTTCTATCTGCTGCCTAGGAATACAGTAAACATTCATGATTTCAAGTATGGTGATAAGAGCGTATTGCACCACAGTGCCATCTCGTAGCAGTTTGTTTGGCTGAGCATTCACTGGGCCAGCACATCACCGCTGTCAGCATGCAAATAAGCTCTCCCATACAGCTGAGTATGAGGGCCAGAAGCCTGAAAATAAACCAGCAAAGTGTGCCTGTTATAAGGAATGAGAAGTACTTGCCAACTTTTAATCACCGGGCTTAGTGACTGGCATGACAACATTTTTCTGATGGGGAAATTATTTACAGGCAGTTGGAAGGTCAGGAGGCTGTCTGAAACACTCAGTGGCAAAATTGGAGTTAGCTGTTCAGTGAACCATGCTGCTCAGGTACCTGCTTGGTGTTCCAATGGGAACACGCAGTGCATTCTAAGTGCAGCCACCTTCACTGTATGTTTCAGTGTACAAAGTTACCTTCCAATTAAGAAATGAGCACAATAGTAGGAAGGATTTCGCTTTGAGTCTCAGCTTGGCTGTGAGACACAGTGCAGGCTGTGTAGTGGGCTGTTACAGTGGTTTGCTTGATTCTGTTTCTTCTGTCAGACGTTTGCCAGTGTTGATGATGAATAGTGGGGAAAAATACTGAAAAAGCCCTAAGTGATGAATTAGGATATTCAAGTAATGTTCAAGTATTTCTGCTGCCAGACAGTCATGCAGTCCCCGCATTACTACATAAGGTTTAAAATGTTGAGAGAGGAAGAGGAATTTCAAATATGTTTATTCTTATCCAGATAATCTCTGAATTTAAACTCTAATAAAGCTTTTCACCAGAATGAGATGTTAACTAACCAATACTTTATTCAAACTTTAGTTAAACAACTTTTACCTCTGCAGAAAGGCACCCAAACTGTACTGTCTATTCTACTCCGTTTCTGTGGAAACTGTGCGTTGGAGTGGAATAGGAAAAATGGTGGAGAAAAGGAGAGCAGTAGCATTTTTGGCTGAATTCCTGTTGGCCAGCCCCAGTTTCATCTGGGATAACTCAGCCAAGCAAGACCTCAGTGCTGAAGCCCTGACAGTTCTTTTTCCTCCTCCTCTTAACTTGTGCCGAGGGAGGAGTCTGCTTCACAGACACCATTCAGAAAGTGCTTGCTAAAGCAATTTATCTGTATTTTTCATGCAACAAGAATTTTAGTCAGCCAGTAATGTTAGTCAGTAGCTGCCTACACTGGTAGGGTAAGGTTTGTTCTGAAAAGAACTTCCATTGACGCACATATTGCTCAGTCACTGGTCTTCTAAAAAGCACCACTGTATTCTTAGAAAGAAACTCTCCTCTTCCAACACTGAAAAGACACAGTTTTCATCACTCAGGGGTTTCCAAAATATGCATATGTTTGATGGATTGCCAGAAAAGACAGACAGACTTGACCAGTAAACTTAGCTCTCTTATTTTCTCTTCTCTGATAGCTGTTTCACTGACATTCATATTGTTTTCTCCTGGAATAAGACATCTTTCTTAAAAGTAAAATATGAATTAACAGAAGAATATATTTTATTGTTTTTTCTGTTCTTATGATTTCTTTTAATCAGTGATTGCCTGCTACCTGTATGTGTGAGTCAGAGTGAAAAATCTACCGTGGTAAAGTTGTGATTGATGTCTTAATACTGTAGAGGTATTTGGGAGGGCTGGGGGTCTATTTCTTCCACATACACACAGAAAATGACTGGCTTCTGATTGTAGTCTGAGGCTCCAGGTTGGAGGGCCAGGGCATTTTGCTGCCTAGCTTCAGTATACATGTTGCCACAGAGTACCAAAAGGCATTGTGCAGCACTCATGACAACCATCATTCAGTAGAGAATTCTAAATTACTGCAGAAAAAGAGACAACAGAAAAAGCAGTTTGCAAGAATGGACAGTATGGGACAAATTTAAGTAAGGAAATAGCATTATCTTTTCAAATTCAGGTGTTAAGTGTGTGCAGACCCAAGAATTTCAACAGAGTTACTTACAGGTGGAAGCTAAAGGGAAGAGCCTAGGTCATGGTGATGTTGGCTGTACATGTTCGTGCTTCTGTATGGAATCAGGCACATCTGCTTCTTGGTCTGCTGCTGCTTCAGCTTCTTGGTGAGACATTAAAATCTCTTCAGGTCTCTCTCTAGTCTCCTGTGTGTGCTGGAATTGGCAGTAGAACGTGAAGAACTTTAACTGCATCAGTTCAGGGAACCCTGTGGACCTTTGCCATTGTGTGCCTGTAGCGCATTGTGCTGTACATGACAGAAGCAGGAGGGGAATAGAGAGAAAAGCAGAAAAGCAGGCAGTTGGTATCAAGTACTGGTGCTGCCTTCAGTCTTTTCTTTAGTAACGTTTTCATAAACTACAGCTGAGTTGCAGTTCAACTGAACTTTTAAGTTTTGTTTGATTTGTAACCCATTCTACATTTTTTAGAATAAGTGTTCATTGTTTCCACTTGGCAGGCCTGACTGCCCTCCTTATGTTGTTCAGGCTTTAAGTTTGACAGCTTAAGAAATATGTTTGTTGAAGTGCTTATTGATGCTCACCCATTTGTAAGGAATGGCAAGTGCAGTATTGATACAGACAGAACACAGTGAAACAACACTCCATTAACCCAGGTTACCTAGTGCAGAAAGTGATCACATTTATATCAATATATGCTTAAAGAGACAAATTAGCTTTTTATTCACTGTAATCCATAAAATTCATTAGGCACAAAACAGAAAGCATTAATCAGCAGCTGCTTGTCTCACACTCCTCTTTACAGATCTGGATCTGCCCTTTACAAATTGAGGAAATGTGAAAAACTCTCTCCAGAGCAGAGTGAAAAGTCCTATTCCTTCAAAGCTGTGATCCATATGAAGGAAATGATCTTCACAGCACACTGTGGCTCACCACTGAACTGAATATCACACAGCAGCCATAGGTGGCCAATTTCTACAGTAATTCCTATGCACAACATACTCTTCTATGAGTAGACAATCCTTTGCTGAGGTCCAAAAACTACTGATGTGACAAGGGTATGCCATGTGACTTGGGCTCCAAATTACCAACATGCTCAGTAATGGCTTATGAGCAAAAACACACTCAGTTTGTCCCAGCCAGACTTGCTAAGTACACACTCAACAAATTGCAATTGAAACAATGTGCCTTAAGCCAAGTTGCAGCTCAGACTAACAAAACAAAGGTTTGTTTTAAAAAAAAAGGTACCGAATTCAGAATCTCTACTGTGAAACTAGACAGATAACTGACTGGAGACTGTTTTACTTTAAGAACTAAAAATATTTACAAGAGAGACAGTTTTATTTGAATTCAGGTATATTTGAAACACACTGGTAAAAACGTGAAGAGAATTTAGGCATTAGGAAGATTGCAGGTCAACAAGTGCACAAAAAATTAACTGAAAAGAACAGAACTTAGTGCAAATGAGAAAGTATTATCTTACAATCATTACTGCAATTTCTCTTATGTCCCTTAATCAGAATCAAAGTGTAAATCTCAATACCCATTTTAAAACTATTGCTATTTATAAATTGTATGTTCCTAAGCTAAATGCGATGACAACCGAAGCAAATTCTTTCTGATTACTCAGCTTATCGAGTTTGGAAAGCCAGAACTCTGATTTGCAAAAAAGCTATTTTCACAAATTTAAAAAAGATACAGAAATCTCAAGTGTAAAAATTACACAATCATTTACACCAATCTTGTCTCATTCTAAATGTTGAGTCAACAGGTACATTTTTAAGACAAAATTTACAAATTCCTGTCTGAAGTTTGACTTTCAAAAGATGTGGCAATTCAGGTGCAGACAGATTCCATTTAAAAGTGCCGAGAAGACTCTGACCTATCAAATCACTACCTTGTTTTATAAGCAGTAAAATTAATGACAGTTGTTTTCTGATTAATTGATATCCTATATCCCCTACATCTTCCTACTGTTATACTATCCAAGCATTGTTCCAGTCTTTTTCCTTATGTCCTGCACCTCCTTCCAAGACCCTCAGCTACATTTCAATTCCCCAGTCTTGCAGTACTCTAAGCTCATTTGTACATCCTTCTAGATACAACCTTTTCCCCCTACTTGCTCTTTTTCAACTGGTTGCCTGGTCCATAGCAGCACAATGGGTTTCAGTCACTGGTGAGGATGCAACAACTCCTGTCAAATAGGCTCCTGTGTTTTTTCTTTCCCGTGAAAGGAAACATTATTAGTGTCTATCCTTAGTTTCTTTGTAGTAACTCTGAGACTTCTAACCTTCTGCCAGATCAATGTGAAACTGAAACATGAATTAAAAAATTATCAGATGGAAACTAACCCTTCATATGAACCTTGTTTTCTTATCAAATAAGAAAAAATTAGTAAATCCTATGAAAAAGATTAGGAGTAACGTAGTAATTAGAGCAGCTTTTGACATGCTTCACTTAGATATTTTAATTAATTTGCAGTATTACATTGCTTGTACTCAGTACAAATACATAATTTTCCCTTTCAGGGAAAAAAAAAAAAAAAAAAAAGCTTAAGATCATCAATTAGAGAGAGGTTAAGCAAGTTACAAAATGTGTAACTTATTCAGAGTTAAAACTTTAAGAACCTAAATTAAATTTCTGACATTTGCAAATGTTCTGGTGCTAGCGTTTGTTGGCATTTTCAAATGACTCCATTGCAAGCTGCACAGTGTTCATGCAGGGGAGTGCAATTTGATACATATTTCTATTTACATTCAGTATGTTTGGGTATACAAAAGGATGATTTTCCTACTTAATTAAATAACGTTTGAATAAAAAACTGTTGCTAACTGAGTGCCTGAGTTAGTTAACTGAGCAAGTTAATTATTTGCTACTTGAAGAAATGCAGGGAAAGCATCTGAAATATCTGATTTACTGTCTCCTGGGGAGGCATGATTAAGCAGTATGGTTAAACTAGGAGAAAATTGGTTCTTATGCAAACAGTATCCAACAAACTCATTATTAGTCTAATATAATCCAAAATGTCTTGAGTCCTATCTGAGGTGCAGGGCAGTTGTGGTGCACGAGGTCCCTACTCTGGTCCTGCAGTTCTTTGGATGGCAGCCCAGACCAGAGCGTGGCAGAACTGCTTTCCTGCCTCATCTGGTTCTGGAACCTGCCTGGTTTTCCTTAGAATCATAGAATAGAATCATAGAATCACAGAATCATTATGTTTGGAAAAGACATCAAAGATCATCTAGTCCAACTGTCCACCTACCAACAAAATTGCCCGTCAAACCATGTTCCTTAGTACCATATCTAAATGTTTCTCAGACATCTCCAGGGGCAGTGGCTCATTCACCTTCCTGCACAGCCCATTCCAGTGCCTGACCACTCTTTTGGAGAAATTTTTCCCCATATCCAGCCTGAACCTCCCCTTGTGCAACTTTAAGGCCATTCCCTCTCATTCTACTGCTAATGGATCACTACAGCTGAGATTACTTGCTAGTGAGTTATTCTGAAGCTGTAAAATTTGATATACAAGTAATTAATATTTATGCATTTTCTAACGAATTCAGTGAAAGCAGAGATTGTTTTTATGATACTCCTTCTACACATCCAAACCAGGCGCTGGGGAAGGTTGAGCATGGCCAGATTGCATTTCAGTGTACAGTTGAGAAATCGGCTCTGCTGATCCTGTGTAACTGCAGCTTGTCTTAACAAATTTAAGCTAACTTTAACTAGTTATCTTGGTTTCTTCAGCAGTGTAGCATGCTAATTTTCTATCTTACTTACTGATTAATTCAGTAATATAGCCCACAGCAGCCAGAAGCTCATTGAACCCAGGATAGCTCATTCAAAGCTAACGTAAATGTTATGCAACTGATATCCATTTCTTTGTCTGCAGTGGATGTTTAAACATAATTTCAGGAACACAAGTTTGGCCCTGATGATAAAGGGTAAACTTGCTAAGCTGTGGTGGAAAGCTATACCATATCTTTGCAGAGATATGAAAGATTAAAAGTTAAGTTAAATAAGGCTATTGATGTATGAAAATGGGATGGAAGAGGACACATGTCTCACACTTACATACCTTGTGATCTTGTCCTGAAAAAGTCATATTAGGAAATGTTCTTGAAGTCCTCTAAGTCTGGACTTATCTGCATAGCCAAGGGGATAAACTAAAGTTAAGTTTTGCTTACTTGGTATCCATCCCATCTATTTTACAGTACATGAATTATAGCATGTGCACCTGGATATTACTCTGAAGCCCACACAGTTCAAGACAAGTTCTATTTTTATCAGTGTAGTTCTTCATTTTACTTTTATCTCCTCAATATGAGGGACTGTACATCCTTGTCTTCACATGATTTTCTCAATTTCTGTATAGCTATTTCAAGCAATGCAAAAAGATACTCTCAGCTGTGTTTCAGCATATGTGAACTAGATGGAGACTTGCACAACCTTCTAGTAGTCCTCTGGGGTAAGCTCAGAAAAGAAGGTTATTTTGGATGACACACACTTACAGATGATTACTTTTTATAAGTTTGAGGAGGAAAGGAAAGGATCAAGCAGGGAGTAATTCAGTGCCAGGACAAGAAAATTAAAATCTGCAAATACATCTGCTGGAACAGTCACACTGGGCAGCTTTGTGGCAGAAGAATTTGTCTCAAATTTTAGATGAGGGCAAAAAGGGGCTGTTACTGTAGGAAATTCCAGCAGCAGAAGATGTGAAGTGGTAGCTTACGTATGGAGTAGACCTGAAAACAACCAAATGGACAGATAATCTATGCTGTGATCATTGATTTATCAGCAATGGACTCAAATAGAAACAGAACTGATGACAGAGCCACCAGGTAAAGGTTTGTTCTTTTTTCTGTATAGAGTTACAGCATCACCAAATGCTGTAGCCAGTGGAGGTATTGCATAGCAGATGGTATAGTATGACCCTTTCTTTAGTCAAGAACAGAAGTGGCATTACTTCCCTGTCTCCTTCTCCCCTCAGGCCCTTTGTTCTAGTAGGTATCTACGTAACTTTCAGCTGGGGAAAATGTACCTATGCAATTAACGATTTACTCTAGTCAGGATTTAACTGATACTTACTAGATTTATTCAAAGCTGGGATTAGAAGCTTAGCAAGATCCAAGTGCACATCTTTATATCTTTAACAGCTGAATTCTGTGAGTGTTACACTGACGCTAGCATTGAAGCACTATTCCAGAGGGTGTGCGTGGTGTGTCCCTCCTTTACTCAGTGAAGAAGTCATTTTGTGCTTGCTGCGGTCTCTTGTCACTTTTAGTTCACAGTATGCTTTGCAGCCAAAAAGATAAGAAGCACATTTATTTTTAGCTGGCCTTGGCATCCCAGCTTAGTGTCCTGTTAATGTTCACCTGCATGTTTTTCCTGTTGCTGCTTGATGAGTCTTACAAATAAAATACGAGAAAATCACAGTGGTCAGTTAAATTGCTAGAGAGAGTCAACTTCCCATGCCTGTTCTACAATTTATTAGCTCTCTCCAATTAGCAGTTTGCTAATTGGTCATCAGATCATAACAGTCTTCTGCCAGAAGCCAGGAAAAATTATTCCTTCTTTCAGTTTGGGACCTCCAGCGAATTAATGTATTCTCATGGCACTGCTGTTTGAAACCATGACTGGTAAACAGCCCTTTTATCTGAAGGTCCCAGTCCCTCAACAAGAGCCTCCTTATCATCACAATTTCTTCATAAGAATACATTAATATGAAATACTACAAGCTCTGTAGACTGGCAGCATGCAGTGTAACTATTTCTAAGCGCAAGAGGGAGATGAACTGACAGCATTCTAAGCATATAAAATATTAATTTAAGGCTTAGTATGATACAAAGCATAACAGGGATGATGGTTTTTTCCTTTCATTCTTTCTGTGGGAAAAATCAGACAGGTACTTTGTGAAAAGGACTCTGATTCAGCAAAGACAAACCAACTAACAAAAGCAGAAAAAAAATCAAAAACAAAGATTCCAGGATAGTCTGCTGCACATAAGTTTTGGACACAAATCTAACATGAACCTTGAAGTGCAATAGAACAGAAACCTGGAAAAAGGAAAAAGTGGTTTCCAATAATTTAGAGAGCAATTGGAAAGTTAGAGAATGTAAGTTACATAATATTGTCTTGAGTCACTCTTTTCTATCGTGTCCAGCTTTCCATCAAGCTGCAGAACAGATCTTTACCAGGCTGTATGTAATATGCAAGGGACACATTTCACACTATCAGTATCCTGGGCTGCATGAAGCAGAGTGTTGCCAGAAGGACTAGGAGGTGATCCTTCCCCCCCTTCCAGCCTTGGTGAGGTCTCCCCTGGAGTGCTGCATCCAGTTCTGGGCTCCCATCACAGGAGAAATATGGGCATACAGAGCCACCAAGATGGGTTAGGGACTGGAGCACCTCTTCTGTGAAGAAGGCTGAGAGAACTGGGCCAGTTCAGCCTGGAGGAGGCTTGGTGATCTCATCAGTGTTTACAAATACCAGAAAATAAAGTGCAAAGAGGAGCTCTTTTCAGTGGTGCCCAGTGACAGGACAAGAGGCCATGGTCACAGAGTGGAAATGAGGTGCCACTGAGCACCGGGCTGCACTTTCGCACTGGGTGGTTGAGCACTGGCACAGGCTGCCCAGAGGCTGCGGGTCTCCTCACTGGAGGTATTCAGAAGCCACCTGGCCATGGTGCTGGGCACCCCTGCTCTGGGTGTCCCTGCTGGGGCAGGGGTGTGGGATTTTCACATAAATCTTTAAAATCACCACTGCCTGCATATCTCTTGTTTAAACCTTGGGGATAGGGATCTGCAAGGTCAACACAAAGAACAGCAGAAGGAGGAAGTCTTGTGGCAGCAGGATGGTCCTGTTTTGGTTTAAGGCTATGGGAATAGGCAGATAATGTTTCAGCACAGAATCTTGAGGGCCACAATGCCTGAAGTGAGACCTTTTGCTTCATTAACCATGAAATTAATATTAAAGTTAACACCCCTCAGTATGTTAATGAGCTCTCAGGAGAACATGCTGAACGTACATAACTTATAGTGCTCAATTCTCATCTCAAATCACGCCAAACATCACCCCAAGATAAGGGGTTAAGATATAAGGGAAAGTTTATCTCTGGGGGGAGTGGAAATGGGGAAAAGAAAGGAAGAGAGACTGAAAGAGAGAAGAGATGGGAGATAAGAGATGGGAAGCTGCATTTCTCTTCTTTCACCAGGACAGGGACTCTTTCTTGGTAAGCACTGCACCTCACCTCTTGGTGAAGAGCACCTGGGACAGCATGTAGTCTGCTGGAGCCATTATCACATGTTAGCACTACTGCAGCATTTATCAGAAGCAATCCCAAACTTGTTATGTTTGTCGTTTCAATATATTATCTTTCTTTTTAGATGTTTGTGAATATGTGCATTGAAAGTCTGGGTAAGGGGGAATGCTGGCAGACAGGCATTGCTGAAAACGTCCAGTGAAAATCCTGGTGGGATCTGGCAGAGAGGTGTTTTGTCACTCTGTTCAGTGAAAGCCCTTGGCAGGGGAGCTCTGGCAAGCAAACTGCTCTTGTTGTGACAGGGGTTGGACCAAATGGCTCCCTGAGGTCCCTTCCAATCTCAGCCATTCTGATTATGTGATCAGGTTCTTCAGCTTATAAGGAATTCCAGAGTTTAAAGATTGATAGCCAACCATAAGTTCCTGAAGTGGAAGACCACTTGGACAGATGTATTTTTTTCATATGAAAACAAGGCTGATTCTAGAAACAAAGAAGAGTAATATGCTGGCCATGAAAATTTCTATTACCGCTGAGATTTGCCCCATCCCTAGAGGTGTTCAAGGCCAGACTGGATGGGGCCCTGGGCAGCCTGGTCTAGTATTAAATGGGGAGGTTGGTGGCCCTGCATGTGGCAGGGGGGTTGGAGATTCATGATCCTTGAGGTCCCTTCCAACCCTGGCCATTCTGTGATTGATTCTGTGATTCAGTGAGATTACTACTAATTTCACTGCAAACAGGATTAATGTGTATTTTTCTTATTTGCAGGTTTTTAACTGAATGTTTGATCTATTATTTTGGAGAAAGAGAGAAGATCCAGGAAGCCTTGTTCAAAGCTTTGAACAGGACAGACAAAGTTGATATAACCACAAGAGTAATTAGATAAACTGGTTAGTAAAGATCCCAATATTTACAAGTTACTGACATATTGTATGAATGCAATTTTACAGTGTAGTGATTTTAAAGGCCTGGGTCAAATAAATATTGCAATCAATGCAAATCTTTAGTGTCAATATTTACATTCTTAAAGTTTATTATAAAAGTTTGCAGCTCTGAAAGCAAAAATGTGAATATTTCCTACCACAGTCATTTATGTGACTATAATGTGGGTGTAAAACATGATTAAATCAAAACAAAAAAAAATCAAGCCCAGTGAATTAATTTCCAAGGAACAATGCACAAGCCAAATTGCAGTGGATTAGTTCTCTGTGCTTTGAATGAAAACATAGCTGACTGTTTAGAATATTTTTACTGTTATTTATTGTTCTGCATCTTATAGTAGGAGAAAAAGGAATTCCAAGTGGCTGGAGGTGGATGATTAGTCTTTATTCAATTCTTTGAATCTAACAAGGTTCATTCATGAGTGTTCTTTGTGAAGGATGGAAGGAAGTCCTGGTTAGCTAACAAGCTAAACCAGTTCAATTTTAATGATTAGCTGTGGCATTTTCTGCTTCTAAAAAATTAATGTTGCTGTTTTATCTGGTATAGATATTGTATAGCATATCCAGACATAATGAAACTGAATGGTTAGTTCAGACATGTTATGAACCAGGCCAGCTATACTAATGACTATTGAAACTGATATTTCACTTTGTAAGATCCAGTTACTGTTACTTTGTAAAATTTTAATCATATGGGATGAAATATCCCATGCTGTATGATGATACAATCCATGCATTTTAAAAAATGATGTTTTGATCAAATTAAAAGAGATCTGAGATACTTCTTCAAAATGTCCCTCTAGCAGAGTAGTTCCTTGACTACCTTTTGTGTAATCAAGCCTAATTAAGCAAAAGCAGCACTGTTATGTGCCTTAATGGTAAACAACACTGTACAGATAACTGTAGCTGTTAATGCACATTGCCTGTGTAACAGAGACATTATTTACCAAACGGTTGCTTCCTACAAAACAGGGCAAGCATACTGTGCCATCTAGATAAAGTTCTCAACCTATATCCAGACAAACCAGCTTGACTAGTGCTTCTTTATTAGCAATTCCCTTGACAGAAGTTCATTTCGGAAGGAGTCCTGTCCTTCCTGAGATGCAGCACAGCACGGCAATGGTTATTCATCTCCCAGAGAGGTGCTGGCAAGGGCATTGTAGCTATGTCACACTGAAGGATATGTTAAAGAGACATCTGGGACACTACTGACATGACATGGTACCATCCTACTAGTCAGCTGGTGTCTGATTTTTTTTGAAGGCTGTGAAAACATATCAAGAAAAAGTACAGAGGAGGTTGTGGGGAAGAAAGAGTCTTTACTCTTTGACAAAAATGAGTCAGTTGCTTCCTCTTATACTGAGCTTACAGTTTGTCCTCTGTTTTCATTGTGACTATTGTTTGTGTAGTCCAAGCCAAGTGCGAGGAAACGGGGTAATCCCTGCAACTAACATGTAATGCATTCTCATCTTGCTGGTTGACAGTCCTTATGTTTAAGTAAAGAGCTGAGATTTCTCTGAGCTGATAAAAAGAAGACTTAGTATCAAAGAAAAGGCTTTGCAAGACCTATGAAAATCTGAAATTTTAAAATTATAAATTATAATTTTAAGATTATAAGACTTTGTAGAATGGCATTTCATGTGTTTGATAGAGACGTGAGACTTTAGAGTATTCCATGCATGACTAGACTGTGTAGATGCCATTCAGAGTAGGCATGAACCCAAACTACACTGTTGAAGAACCTTCCCTATAATTGCTTATGTTGTGTTTGGTAAGGAATCTGAGAGCAGTCACTAATCTTTCAGTGATCCTCTCATCCCTTGCTGACATTTAATCAACATGAAAGAAGAAACCATCTGATTTAAACAGAAAAAAAAAAAAAAAAAGACAAGCAATTGGAACAAGAAAATGACGGCGGTTGAGATGGGAAGGACAAGCTGGGTTAAGAGTTGGTAACCAGGAGGAGTGGGAGCTAATGAAGAAAATTAAGGCAGGAAACAGAGGAAGTTTAACTGAAAGGGTGTTTGGGAACCTGCTTTGAGTAATGAAAGAAGAAAGGACTCAGTGAATCATTCCAGAAATATGAGTATTTCAACACTAGATTGACTAAACGTAGAATAGATATTATCATGAAAAATATTGCTACAATCTATTTTAATCCTATTTCAGGTCTCAATTAAGTCATGCCAGTTCATGTCCTATTTTACACTAGTACAATATGAATCTGGGTTGAAACAGCTATTTCTGGGTGTAGGTAAGTCTGCAATTTGATGTCAAATTGGTGTTAAACTGGTCTGCTTTGAACTTATTTTTCTTCTTTCATTAATAATCCCAATATACTTGATAAACAAGAATTCTCTACCAGAGTTAACTCTTCAACTGGCATACACTTTACCATTTTACAGGTGAAGAAAATCAGTCAGGTGAGTCATGTAATTTGCTCTAGGGAGCGCACGATGAATCAGTGAGCCAGGAATGTAAATTCAGGAATTTCTGACCTTTTGTTTTTTTTCTAGAAATTCCAACTCTTGCTTCCTGCTATATTTTTATCCAGTTACAGTACAAAGATAACAATCCTGCTTTTCTTGTTTAATGTGTTCATTGCTCCTACTGTTAATTGAAGCTATATTCAAGCTGTGATGAGCCAACAGTCCTCCCATTTTTAAAAGCAAACACGGCTTACTAGTTACTGTTGGTGAATACTTCTTATCTCTAAATTTGTTTTCTGTGTTGCTCAAAACCAAGCTAAGAATTGTTCTCTTTGCTTTATCTGCATCCTAGAGGGGGAAAAATAAAGAAAAAGAGCACACTGGCAGCCAGAAAATTCTTACAGTGAACAAAAGGACAGACTCATTGTTAGTATGCACACACAAGTGCATCACACTTACAGAAATGTGGAATGGGGGTGGGAACTGTAGGAACAAGAGACAAACATGAAAGGCGAGAGGATGAGAAGGCTGGACTTGCATGTTAATAAGAACTCTCATTAACTGGGAATTTCCTATCTCTACAGTGCTCTTTTCCCACCATGCATTGTTTTTTTCTCTCTTTGCCTTACATGTTATTTCTTATCTTATCCATTCTGTGTAAAAGCAGCATACAATTAGTTAATATCCTGATTTCTGAGGAAGTGCAATTCAGACAGCATGCTAGCACACACTGGGAAAAGTAATGCTGAAAAGAACTGGTACAGTAATCAGGGCAAAAGCTTCCAACATCCTTCTGCTGAAAGAAGAGTTTTGAATTATTCTCAGAAAGCAGACCATCGTGTTTTTAGGATCACCACTATTCTGCACAAATGTGTTCCATTCATATCTGAGAAGTAATTGTCTTGTTGTGTAAGAGAGATATTTCAAAGCTGAATGAAAAGGAAACGAATCAAACATCTGTGGGGTGCCAGATGCCTGATGCAAATGACATTAAAAAGAGGTAAAAACACCATTCCATAATTTAATATTTTTTCTTTGCCCCCCTTCCTCCCCCATGCACCTAAGAACATGTAAATCTGTTGTTCTTCCTTTCTGGGTAGGTAGTGTCACCTAAATCTCATCTTGCCCTTCCCCACTGTGCATGAGGCCCACAGTAATCCTTGTAATAGAACAAACACCTGTTCCAATATTGTGTTCAAAGAGAGACAGCCAGAAGCAACGGCATTCTGCCCTAGATCACTGTTCTTTATGTTGTTTATTGATTTTATAAATGCATTATTTTACTTTTTAGTCTGTATTCTCTCTTGATTCATCATTTATTTTTGAAAAAGGTAAGTTACATACAGTAAGATGCATATTGAGATAAGAATGGAGAAAATCACAGAATTAATGGATTCAAATAAACATAATTCAGTGTAAATCCAGTTGTAACAATGTCTTGAATTCTTTCTGCAATTTTCTGCTTACAGGGATTGTCAGGGAGGTACATTCTCAAGAGCCTGAGGAATACTGTTTCTCTTCTTTATATCTTTTTTTCTGAAATACATTTAGCTTCTACCGAGTTCACTCTCCAATTTAGTTAATTGCACATGATAATCTTCTCAATATATACATACAGAGTCTCAGTGGATTTCTGCATTCCTGCCTGAACATTATCTGAGTAGCTTTTCAGGAAAAATAAAAAATCACAACAAAAATCAGTAAGAATACAATCATAAAATATGTGCCCATTGAATAGAAAGAGATTGACTGTGTGGAATACACCCACCTGGTCCTACCATAATCCCTTCTCTGTGTGCTAACAGATTGTTCCCAAGCCCTGATTATGTTGCTGACATTATGCTCATGAGGGAAATTCCTTTCCGACTCCAGATTTGGTGAGTTTTTAACCCTGCTGATGTAAGCAAAGCACACTGTAGTTATCTAAGACCCAATTTTCCAATCAGTTTTACATACAAATCTCCTACTGAGGTAATCAGAATTGTACGTGAGTAGATGAGAAAAAGATTGAGACCCTAATACGATTTCTGCTTTACAGCTAAATCTAAGAAATAACTTTAAGCCACTTATTGCTGAAAATAATAAAACCAGTCTCACCATTTTCTCCATCATCAGCTACTTGCTTCTACCATCGTCTGTACAGGCACAAGTATTCATGCAAACCAAATCCGAACCAATGGAGTTAAAATTAACCTAGAAACAAAGGGTAGATAATATGACCTTCTTTCTAACATTCAACTACTATAAATTTTCATGCATCTATACTTCTTGAGTAGGAAGACTTCAAAATTTTAGCATAGTCTTCAGTTGCTTTATCATCACACTGACGTATCACTAAAAGACTGACCACAGAAAGGGAGATGTGTAATGTACCAACACTGCATGGTACCCAAGTAGTATATTATGTTGGAATATATTTTTTGTCTTTCTTTATGATGGAGGATGGAAAACAGATTTTTTTTTAATTTAGAAATGCAGCTGTAGTGCCTCATGTTGGCAGCGGAGAGCTGAAGATTAGGACTTCATGGTCCTATTGTTTTCTGTTCACTGGGCTCTCTAGCCAGACAAAAAAAAGCATTATATATTGTGGTCTACCCTCTCTGAATTGTTTAGCTTTGTATTTCTCTTCCTGTCCCATTCCTGCACTGAACTAACCATTCGATTTTCTGTCTAGTTGAAATCTCTATGATCCAATTTCTTAAGATGCCTGATTACTGCTTCCCTTCACTCTCACAAGACCCTGACTACAGCTCTTTTTAGATCTTCATCCTTGCGGATTCTTTGTTTTAGGGAGGCAGCTCTCTTGAACTGTAGTGACTGCTTGCTGATAGCTTTGAATTCCAGTCCCAAGTGAAGGTAAGCAAGAAGATACACCAGCCTCATGCCCAGACTGGAGCTTTCAGCGTGACCCAAATCATACTCTGCATCAAGCATCATTACAAATTACAACTATGCCGAATTTCAAAGTCACAACAAGTGTCAAAAATTGAGAACTGCAGAAATAAGTGCCAGTTTTCATCAGGTCAGATCTGAGAGGAACCTGGCATCGTCAGCACCACGATACTGCATTGCTGTCATGGTCTCCAGGAAGGAATACAATTGCAGGGTTGTCGCTCGTGACAAATAACTTAGAACGAAGGACACCTAACTTCCCTGGATTTGCCATGAGGTTAATTGCTTCTGGCACCTGACCCCAGTCTCACCATAAGCCAAAGCCGACCCAGCTTCGGGCGGCTGCTGGGGGCGGGCGGACACCGGGCACGGCGCGTCGCTGCGCTGCCACAGCGGGCACTGCCGGGGGCGCCGCGGGGGGCGGGAGGAACGCGCAGCAGCCGCTCACCGAAACGACAGAGCGGCCGCACGGCCACCCCAGCGGGCCCCTGGAAGGGGGTCAGAACTGCCCCAGGCCCGCTGCGATACGGAGCCGTTCCTACCCGCCCTGCGTGCTTCGGGGTCAGTACGGAACGGGAGTGGGAGGGTGCGCGGCGCCACCGCCCCTCAGAACGGCGCACTGAAGTACGCACAAACAAGTTAAGCGAAGCCCAACAGTTCCTGGCGTGGGGCCGGTCCGCCCAGGGCAACACGCCGGCACCGCACCTCACAGCTTCCCCTCCGCCGCCCCTCAGGTGCGCTTCGCCACCTGCCGCCGCCCCGCCCCCGCCTTTCCGGCCGCGCTCCGCCAGCAGCGCCGCGCCTGCGCACTGTGCGGCGGCGTGCAGCGGGGGTGTCGCTGCTGCCGGCCGGTGCCCGGAGCGCGGACGCGGCGCGGCAAGCGAGAAGGCGGGGCGGGGCACGGCCGGGCCGGGCTGGGCTGGGCAGGGCAAGTCGGGAGCGGCGCCGGCACGGCCCGGCGGGAGCGCGCGGCTCGATGAACTCACGCAAAGGTACCGCGACGGGAAGCGGGGGGTGGGAGACGGGGGTTGCGCGGCCATCCTAACACCGACTTCGGTTGTTCTCCTCCCGGCAGTGTTGGCCCTGCAGGCTCGCAGGCGGCGGCCGAAGCAGCCCGCGGCGGCCGGCAGGAGGGACAAACACCCGCCGTCCCACAAAAAGTGAGTGCGGAGCGCCCGGGCCGCCGGGACGGAGCCTCCCCCCCCAGCTGTTCCTCGCGCCCCTCCCGCTCCTCTTCCCGCCCCGTAACGTCCCGCCCGCACCGCTCGGGACCGTGCAGGGCTCGGTGTCCGCACGGCGCTGCCCCGCAGGCGCGCCCGGCGCTCCGCTGTCCGTCTCTCGGCTGGCCGCGCTGTCCGGCTGCGGGCGGCCCGCCGTGCCGCTGCCGCGGGACCATTGCTGCCTGCGGGCGCGTCCTGCCCTGGAAACGGGGCGTCGGCATCTTCAGACCCCGTCGGTCCCGCAGAAACTGGCACAAGTTTGTGTTTCTTCTCCTGTCTCCGTGTAACCCTTTACATTCCTGTCATCCTCCACCTTTTCTCGATCTATGATACAGCTTTTACCGTGTGCTCAGGAACGCTCCCACATCTCTGTAGTGCTCCACTGCCTAGGATGCTGCTGCTCTTTTCCCTGGTTTGTATCTGCATAGGATCGCATGCTTTAATTGATTTCTAACTTTAACTGTACTTCATTCAGTAAGGCCCTATTGGTGACCCAATATGTGCGACCGTGTCTCTTGACTTTGCTTTTGTTTCATGGAGGTCCTGGTGTTCACACACCTCTCAGAACGGGGAGCTGGCTGTGATGGGTGGGCACGTGTGTGTGATGGGGTAAAGACGTGGCCATGTGGTGCAGTATGTAATTCAGAGGGGAGCGCCTTTCCTTTTTATTGCTGTGAAGGAAATAATAAGTTACCTCTGATCCCGGTGTTTGTCTTCTTAGAAATGCTGAGCAGACTTTTTATCTCCCTTTGATATGAGTAAAACCCCTGTAGGATGGAATTTCATTACAGTGATCGTTGGTCTCTAATGGTTATCTTTCACCTACATCCTGTTCTGCTGGTGCTTTTTTGTCCAATGGTGTGCAGAAGTCGCATTTTGCTTTCAGCTGTGTGAAGCTGGAATTGCTGCAGTGGAAGTAAACCTTGTGCACAGGAGGCACGTTGTGATGGGATTGGTTCTGTTGTTTCCCAGCACCTTTTGGAATGTTGGTTTGTAATATTTTGTACATTTGTTTTGCTACTTTGAAAACACAAATATCTCCTATTTTATAGGAACTGTAGGTTTGGAATTGTGTTTGCAGCTTTTGGATGAGTCTTAACCACAAGATTATTAGTTTTTGTTCGAGTTAGATGATTGCATTTAGTACATTCTTTTTTTTTTCCTTCTTCTTCTTTTTTTTTTTTTTTAAACCAAGGCTGCCTTGGGATGTCTTGCTGAATAAATTTGTCAAAAGTTTGCTTTTGCAGCCATGTTAGTAAGCACAGAACTGGTGCTTTTTTAGTTAGAAGAAACTGGCTGCTGCTTCGTCAGGGAGCACAGCCGGCTGCTGGCTGGCTGCCATCCTGAGTCGGCAGTTCCAGATGCGATGTCCCAGTCTGCTCAGTTGCCTCGGGAAACAGTGGTTTTGCTGTGGTAGACAGTGGAGCCGTTGCTGCTTTTTTGCTATGTTTTTCTTCTTCAAACTGCTCTTCTACTATCGAGACCTACTCCGTTTTATGCTTTTGGGAAATGTCTTGCAAGAGTTCTAGTCTTATATACAGTGCAGTAGTTTAGGATCCCAAGGTAAGGTGAGAAAACAAATGCTGACAGAAGTGTCAGGTTTGTTCAGTTCTTAGCCTTCCTTTAAATCCAACTGCTGCTGCACGTACTGATGTGTTTGAGCTGCAGTTATCTGATACACATCAAATGCATTGGAGCTGCAAATGAAAATGTTGTTTTGGGGGTGGAAATTCTGTAACAAGTTCCTAGTAGCAAATTACATAGTTATGAATTACTCCGTTTCAAACCAAAAAGCTTTTTTTTTTTGTTTTTGTTTTTTGAACTGTAGTTCTTAGGCATGCCCTCCTCTGTTGGGTTGGGGCTTTATAGAGCAGCTTCCATTGTTGCTGGTAACAATGTGCTTCAAAGGAGCTGCAGGATTCCTCCTCTAGAATTGGCAAGAGGAGCTACATCACATTGTAACTTACTTGCAGGCTTTTGTTTGAATGGTATTAGGATGATGGCACAAGAAGAAAAAAAAATTGCAGTGCTCTTTGATGCTGAAATGGTCTTTTGTCTGTTATGACCTTGATTGCCTTGGAAGGTGTAATCAGTCCTGGGACTGCTCAGTATTGACCCCTAAGTCAGTGATGAGAGCTGGTGGAGGTGAACCCAGACTGCTTTTGTAATACTGGAAAAAGTGAGAGTAGAAGGTAAATGAGTTGTATTATGAAGAGAAATTTGTCTTGAATCAAGTCTATATCTAAAACTATGCATAGTAGCAGAAATTACAAATTACAGACCACCTGAGGAATCACCAACCACCTGAAGCTTAACAGCTGGAGCTGGGTTCTGCATGTGGGATGGAGCACCCCTGGCTCTGTGTACTGACTGGGGGATGGGAGGCAGGAGTGCAGCCCTGGAAAGCAATCTGTGGGTTCTGTCTGATGGCAAGTTGAGCATGAGCCAGAAGTGTGCCATGGCAGCCCAAAAGGCCGATGATACCCTGTGGTGCAGCAGGCCCAGCACTGCCAGCGGGCGAGGGGAGGGCTTGTCTGCTCTGCTCTGTGCTGTGCAGCCTCACCTCCTGCACTGGGTGCTGTGCGGGTGCCACAACATCGGAGGGGCATAAAACTATTAGACAGCATCCAGAGGAGGGATATGAAGATGGGGAAGGTTCTGAGGGCAAGGTATGAGGAGCGGCTGAGGTCCCAGTGTTTGCTCAGCCCAGAGCAGAGGAGCTGAGGGGAGGCCTGATGGCGGCTGCAGCTCCTCACAGGGAGCGGAGGGCAGCGCTGAGCTCTGCTCTGTGTGACAGCGACAGGGCCCGAGGGAACGGCATGGAGCTGCATCAGGGGAGGGGCGGGAGAAGGGCTCAGGGAAAGGGTCTGCACCACAGGGCGGTGGGCACGGAACGGGCTGCCCAGGGCAGTGGGCACGGCGCTGAGCTGCTGGAGTTCAAGGAGCGTTTGGACGATGCTCTCAGATCTAGGGTTTGAATTCTGGGGGTCCTGGAGCTGGACTCAATCTTAGAGCTTCCCTTCCATCTTGGGATTTTCTATGGTTCTATGGCCTTACTTTTCATTCAGTCATCCAGACTACTGGAAAAGAATAATATCTTACTATTTAAAAATAATGGCTAGCTCTTGACTTTGATAATAATAGATGGACTTGCATGCACTGTATACGAACTGCTAATGTATTTTTTTGAATCCCTTTGCACAGTATTACAGTGACTTTAATTATTTATTTACTTGCAAAGCTTATGAAAACTAACTGTTTTCATCTGCTTTTTTTGTAAGAGTAGAAGTATGTCTCAATATATGTATGTTATGTGAAATGTTTCATTTGTTTATTCATTTTTGACTACCAGTGGTCTGAAGCTGTGGGTATCCTAAATACACACCCTATCCTGGGGTGGATAAATTTAAGATGTCTGCTCAATGTTGGTTTTAGGGGTTTATTCAAAACATCAAGTTGATAGGATTGCAGCTCTTGTTTCCTTTCTTTATAACCTTTTGCCTTCTTGCTAAAAATACTTTAATTGGAATTTAACCTTCCTGTTTCTATCAAATTTTCATAAGATTTCATTAAGCTACCTGTACCACAGGGCTGCAGCTGTCGGTCGGTCATCGTTACTTGTCCACTTAACATATGTAGGCTTCGGGTATTTAATGCTGTACTTTTTTAAAGGGAGTAGCATTCAGAAAGATCTGGCAGAAAGAAATGAAGTTGATTTTAGTTATGATTTTAGTCATCTAGCTATGATACTAACAATTTTTTTATAGAATAATTTCATAGATTGACTATAGAAACTTGAGATGTGATGTGTTTGAACATGAGTAGCTGAGTCAGTGTAATGTTCACCTTTGTAATGTGATAATAGAACAGATACCAGACTTTTTGTGAAATCCAATGGAATCTAAAGTAGGTTTTGATGTGAAGTAGCACATGTGTATTACTAGACTAGATATATTCATTCATTTTTGAACTCCTGGTGTAATGTACACAGAAAACATCACACATCTCTAATAAATCTGATTTCTGAAATGGAAGTGACTCCAGAGTTTCTCATATGCTCAAAAGATCCATTTGCAGAGTTGTGCACAAAAAGTAGTTATTGTAATATAAGCCTCAGCACATTCATTATCTTACAGATGTCAAGATTCGTGCTTTTTTGGTTAAGCAATGAATGTAGAAACTGAGACATTAATCTCATTTATAATAATTACATTTGATGAATATACATTTCTATTGAATAAAAAGAGTGTAGCTCAGCACAAACCTCTTAAACAAGAGTGCCTTAGTTGGGAAAGGAAAATGACTGCATTTTCTGTTTTGGATTGTATTGAGATGAGTGGTTAGGGTGTAATTTCATAACAAAGGACAGGGCCACTCCTTCTGCAGCTCATTTTTGTTTTGTTTAATACTTACTGTAACTATAGAGTAGGATGGTAATAAATTTTATGGGCAAGTCCTGGATGTGGGTTTTGAAATAGAAAGTCTTCCTTTTGTTATTAAGATGAATACAGCCTGGAAGTTATTGGCTTCTATTTTTAA